ATTCAATCTAGAATGGGGACTTCATCATTTAAGAGAATGTTGTCTACTACTTGTCTCTTCTTCTTGACTCCTCAGGTGTATATGGCTTGGGTGGAAGAAAAGCAACATAACATTGAGTTATGCCTAATATGGCAATTCATATTATTTTCCCAAAATGAATTATTGTTAACTTACATCTCAAAGCCATGCATGCAAGAAGCCTTGACCTGGTGCACACACATTTCTGTCCTTTGATTAAAGGCCTCAATCTGTATTTTTGCCTTCTAACTGATTGCTTCTAGAAAGAGAGAAGGAACAACACATCAAGATCCGCTAGCTACTAGTTTAAAGCAATGAAAGATCTAATTGTTACAAAGAATGAATGTATTGGCTACATTTATGAGAATAATACATGCATTTGCTTACCTTTTTATCAAGCTTGAAGACAATACACTCATTTATCACAAAAAAAAGATGTGCTATGAGTGCACCACGAACATCTCTCCAGAGTGCTGATGCATCCTCCTCCTAATACAGCCTCTTCCAACACCACGGGTAGGGGAAGGGTATACATCTGCAAAAGTGAAGTCTTGCTTTGATGTCAAGTCAACTCATATTGTTGCTGCCTTAGATGTTGTGCTAGCTAACATGCTACTGAACATTGACACTAGCCTATATTAAAAGACCGCCACGTATTCACCTAAAAATGTGTTTACGCAAATCATTAGTTAGCTAGCTAGCTATCACATTAATTGTTCAAAAATATGATCGCTAACATCAGGTAGCTAGCACTAGACAGCTAGCTAAGCGCTAGCCAGTCAGTGGCGCTGACAGATTGAAACTGGTATCAACAAAATGTGTTTCACTCTATCCCATAAGACTTAACATTGCTAACTAGGCATCAATTAGCTAACACCATTTTAAAGTTTATTAGGAAGTTTAATAACTTAGACACTCACCGGAAAACTTTGGTAAGTAGCTAGCTAGATAGCTTGGTTTACATTTTCCAACAGATATTACTAATCCCCCTGATTGGTCGTCAATGGTTACTGATTTTAGAACTTATGTGTTCACCAGCAACAGCTTCTGGTAAACTGTTTGCCACAAGTGACAATAAATATTGTTGCCACAGATTCAAATGGAATCTTGAGAGTATTGCGAACTGTTTGCCACAAGTGGCAATAAATATTATTGTTGCCAAAGGTTTCCCTCAGATTCACCACTAGTGGCAAACATTTGCAAACTTCTGGCAACATGAAGGTAGTTTGCCGCAACAAAGGGATTTAATCAAGCAATTTTTTTAATTTTGTCAGATGCAAGAACATAGGCTAGACAGAGAGTGTAGGGTTCAACCAGAAACCCTGTGTTTATGGAGCGAGCCAATGAACATCTGTGCCATAACGATTCAGACCTCTTAGGCTGCGTTTACACAGGCAGCCCAATTCAGATCTTTTGGCAATTATCTGATACCTTTCTGACCTATTCCCTAATGTCTAAACAAAAAATTAAACATGGAATCTGAGCTTTTGACTTCCGATTTATACCACCTCCAGTGGCTCTGAATCCTGATACAAACCCAGTCCTCCATTTGCGACCTCTGTATGGACGCTCAGATCAGATATTTTTACGCTGAAGTGTTTTTTTGTGGCATGACAACCACCAAAAAATTTTAAGGAATATTGACAGGAAATGAGCATTGCATCTTTGTGCTACTTCAGAGGCTACAGTCAAGTCCAAAATTATTGGCACCCTTGATAAAGATTGGCAAAAAAGACTATGAAATAAAATAAAAAAAAATAAAAATAAATAAATAATACAATTACTGCGCTATATTGTATGCTCTAAAAAATGGGAACATATAATTTTTAAAATAATTTATTTACTAATACAATTGCTCAGATAAAGATTCTGTTTAACAAGCAATCTTATTTTCCTAAAAAAGATAGGGGTCGATATTATTGGAACCCCTGTTTTCAATACCTTTTGAATACCTTCCCTTGAGAGGATAATGGCACTGAGCCTTTTTCTAAAATGTTTTATGAGATTGGAGAACACATTGGGAGGGATCTTAGACTTTTCCTCCGTATAGAATCTTTCCAGAGCCTTGATATCCTTCCTCTGTGCTTATGGACTGCTCTCTTCAATTCAAACCACAGGTTTTCTAAGTCCGGAGACTGAAATTGCCATTGCAAAATTGTGATTTTGTGGTCCATTAACCATTTCTTTGTGGATTTTGATGTGTGCTTGGGGTTACATTTACATTTTAGTAGACACTCTTATCCAGAGCGACTTACAGAAAGAAGCTATTTGGGTTAAGTGTCTTGCTCAAGAGCACAATGCTCTAACTGCTAGGCTATCTGCTACTGGTTGCTGTCTTGCTGGAAGATCCACTTGTGGCCACATTTCAGACTCCTGGCAGAGGCAACCAGGTTTTTGGCTAAAATGTCCTGGGACTGGGTAAAGTTCATGATGCCGTTGAACGCAGGGGTGCCAATAATCCTTATTTAGACGTCAAAATCCACCACTGGTGTGCATCGCCAAAGTGCTCTGTTTTTTATGGTCATCTGACTATAGCACCGGTTCTAATCCAAGTGCCAATGCCATTTAGCAAACTCCAGGTGTTTACATTTGATGAATGGCATGAAAATAGAGCTCTTTGTCCACACACACCAGTGGTGGGTTTTGGCATCGAAATAAGGATGCATAAGCAGAAAAGTACCCCATACCTACTTTAAAATATGGTGGTGGATCTTTGATGTTATGGTGCTATTTTGCTTCCACTGGTCCTGTGGCAATTGTTAAGGTCAATGACATCATGAACTTTACCCAGTACCAGGACATTTTATCCAAAAACCTGATTAATTGACCTGGTTAATTGGAAATGGTTAATTGACCACAAAATCAACATTTTGCAATGGCCTTCTCAGTCTCCGGACTTGAACCCCATTGAAAATATGTGGTTTGAATTGAAGAGGGCAGTCCATAAGCGCAGACAAAGGATATCAAGGATCTGGAAAGATGTTTTATGGAGGAATGGTTTAAGATCCCTCCCAATGCGTTCTCCAATCTCATAAATCTTTTTAGAAAAAGGCTCATTGCCATTATCCTTGAAATGTATTGAAAGCAGGGGTGACAATAATTGTTACATCTGTTTTAGAGACAAAAATATTAGTTGTTAAACAAAATCTCTTTATCGGAGCAATTGTATTAGTATAAAATATAATTCCCCTTTTTTTTTTTTTTACAATATAGCACAGTATTTGTATTATTTATTTTATACAGTCTTTCTTGGCTCACCTTTATCAAGTGTGCCAATAATTTTCCATCCACTTGACAGGTGTGGCATATCAAGAAGCTGATTAAACAGCATGATCATTATACAGGTGCACCTTGTGCTGGGGATAATAAAAGGCTACTCTAAAATGTGCAGTTTTGTCACACAACACAATGCCACAGATGTCTCAAGTTTTGGAATTGAATGTTCATTTCTCTACCATAAGCCACAGTTTTGGCAGTACGTCCAACTGGCCTAACAATCGCAGACCACGTGTATGGTGTTGTGTGGGCGAGCGGTTTGCTGATGTGAACAGTGTCTCATGGTGGCGGTGGGTTTATGCTATGGGCAGGCATAAGCTACGGACAACGAACACAATAGCATTTTATTGATGGCAATTTAAATGCAAAAAGATACCATGACGAGATCCTGAGGCCCATTGTCGTACCATTCATCCGCCGCCATCACCTCATGTTTCAGCATGATAATGCGGCCCAATGTCGCAAGGATCTGTACACAATTCCTGGAAGCTGAAAATGTCCCAGTTCTTCCATGGCCTGCATACTCACCAGACATGTCACCCATTGAGCATGTTTGGGATGCTCTGGATTGACATGTACAACAGCGTGTTCCAGTTCAAGCCAATATCCAGCAACTTCGCACAGCCATTGAAGAGGAGTGGGACAACATTCCACAGGCCACAATCAACAGCCTGATCAACTCTATGCGAAGGAGATGTCGCACTGCATGAGGCAAATGGTGGTCACACCAGATACTGACTGGTTTTCTGATCCCTACTTTTTTTTTTTTTTTTTTTAAAGGTATCGGTGATCAACAGATGCATATCTGTATTCCCAGTTATGTGGATTAGATTAGGTCCTAATGAATTTATTTAAATTGACTGATTTCCTTATATGAACTGTAACTCAGTAAAATCTTTAGAATTGTTGCGTTTATATTTTTGTTCAGTATAGAAAGAAAATCAGATTTGTGTTCTTAGGGTGGCTGTGTTAACACAGCCTTAGCAGATGTCATCGTGCGCTAACATACAGGGAGGCTCTTCTTCTGTTAAGGAGCATCCTGCACACACACATCCCAATGAAAACAGGGGAACATTTCAACAAAAGCCCGGAGTAACAAAGAATACGGGGTCATTTAAATTCTTCCATCAATATAGAGATTGAAGCGAGAACAGCTAAAGCGCCGCTTGAACCAGCAACCGCTGTAGTTAGCGGACAATTCAGGTGTGCCTGTGCCATAACGTTCCAGACCTCATGGTAGGAGCCATAATATACTTTCCGGTATATACAGGCAGGCTTCAATAACAGTGATCATAAAAGGGCTGAAGGAAAGAGAAATTAAAGTACCTCATGTCCCTCCATGACTGGGGTCTACCACGCCTGCAGTCATACTTGTTGTCATGTCTAAAATGTATGCACTCATGTAGTGGTCCTCTGTAGCTCAGCTGGTAGAGCACGGCGCTTGTAACGCCAAGGTAGTGGGTTCGATCCCCGGGACCACCCATACACAAAAATGTATGCACGCATGACTGTAAGTCGCTCTGGATAAGAGCGTCTGCTAAATGACTAAAATGTAAAAAAAATATAATGTCTCCCTGGCACTTCATTTATCAATTTGTGTCATTGATTAGCCATCGATCACCTGAAAATCCAGGTTTCAGTTTCGAATGAAAAGGGAGCGTATACTGCGTCCATCAAGTACTAGTTTTGTGTACCTTTGCTCTATAATGACCGAAGATGATTTAGGAAGTTAGAATACACACTACCCGTATGGAACAAATCTGTCATGTCCAATGGTGGCACTAGGAACTTTTCACTGGGGCAGCTTGGTGTTTGCGAAGGGGTGCTTTCAATCTATGGTGTGCATGTACTAATGGTCTCTTGGGGGTGCTAGGCCTATTTTTGAGGAGGCTTCAGCACTGCCAAGCCCCTCCCTGGAGCCGCCCGTTGCCATCCCTTACCCTTTCTTTTATGATGGATGTAACCAAGGATTATCTATTATATTGACAAGATAGTCGAGTGACCGCTCTAACAATGGAAATACATCTCCTCAAAGATGCAAGCACTGTACTGTCTTTGATGGAAGCAGGCGGGATGAGGAGAGATCAGGTGGGACCATTCTAGCCAATGAGAGAGCAGATACGCGTGTGAACAACAGGCACACCTCCGATACAATTTGTTATTTTTTTTAAGTTGCCGAAATGCCATGTGCACCCAATTTATATCAGTGCATTCGTAACAACCTAACCATTACGAAACTTATATTCGATTAAATATGCCTCACATAGCAAAGGCGCAATTACTATTTTTGGTTGACCAAATTCTACACTCTCATTGACAACCATACAAAAATTATCCAGCTAGCACATAACGTTCTGAGAACCATATGTTTCTTAGAGCTTGGTGAGAGTGTGGTTGTCCTATGGGTATTTTGCATACAGCCATCCCACAACATCCTGGGAATGGTGCAGGATGATTGCTTGGCTTTGGAACATTCAGCACGTTTAAGGAACTTGACAAAAAAAAGTATTGTTATTTCATTACTTGAACAGAATGTTTCCTAAAAGTTCAAACATGGTTACATTTAATTTAACATTTTTGTAATGTTCTAGGAATGTTCTCCAACTGTTTTGAAATTGGGAATGTTCTCAAATAATTTAGTTAAGAGAACATTAAGAAACAACGTTCTTCTGTAAAAATGTCAGTACTTCAGCATAACCTTTCCTACAAATTTACTCATGGTTCTATTTAAAGGAATGTTCTCAAATGGTTCCAAGAAAGTAAAGAAACAACGTTATTCTGTGGGAATTTCAGTACTTCAGCATAATGTTTCCTACAAGTTTCCTCATGGTTCTATTTAAAGTTCAGAGAACGTTCTAAGAATGATATTTAAAAACATACATTCCGTTCTCAGAACTTGAAGAAAACTTTCAATAAAAAACACAAACGTTATAAGAATGTTATTTAAAAACTTATACATTCTATTCTCCGCATCAACAAAACTCTCTGTCCTCATCTTGTTAAGTGTGTTCGCCGCACCCACTAATTGGCCACACCGGATTTGAATGCAGCGGTTCCCAAACTAGGGGTCGCCTGATATGAAAATGGGGTCGCGGGAGAATATATATATATATATATACAGTGGGGAAAAAAAGTATTTAGTCAGCCACCAATTGTGCAAGTTCTCCCACTTAAAAAGACGAGAGAGGCCTGTAATTTTCATCATAGGTACACGTCAACTATGACAGACAAATTGAGAAAAGAAAATCCAGAAAATCACATTGTAGGATTTTTTATGAATTTATTTGCAAATTATGGTGGAAAAAAAGTATTTGGTCACCTACAAACAAGCAAGATTTCTGGCTCTCACAGACCTGTAACTTCTTCTTTAAGAGGCTCCTCTGTCCTCCACTCGTTACCTGTATTAATGGCACCTGTTTGAACTTGTTATCAGTATAAAAGACACCTGTCCACAACCTCAAACAGTCACACTCCAAACTCCACTATGGCCAAGACCAAAGAGCTGTCAAAGGACACCAGAAACAAAATTGTAGACCTGCACCAGGCTGGGAAGACTGAATCTGCAATAGGTAAGCAGCTTGGTTTGAAGCAATCAACTGTGGGAGCAATTCTTAGGAAATGGAAGACATACAAGACCACTGATAATCTCCCTCGATCTGGGGCTCCACGCAAGATCTCACCCCGTGGGGTCAAAATGATCACAAGAACGGTGAGCAAAAATCCCAGAACCACACGGGGGGACCTAGTGAATGACCTGCAGAGAGCTGGGACCAAAGTAACAAAGCCTACCATCAGTAACACACTACGCCGCCAGGGACTCAAATCCTGCAGTGCAAGACATGTCCCCCTGCTTAAGCCAGTACATGCCCGGCCCGTCTGTAGTTTGCTAGAGTGCATTTGGATGATCCAGAAGAGGATTGGGAGAATGTCATATGGTCAGATGGTAAAAACTCAACTCGTCGTGTTTGGAGGATAAAGAATGCTGAGTTGCATCCAAAGAACACCATACCTACTGTGAAGCATGGGGGTGGAAACATCATGCTTTGGGGCTGTTTTTCTGCAAAGGGACCAGGACGACTGATCCGTGTAAAGGAAAGAATGAATGGGGCCATGTATCGTGAGATTTTGAGTGAAAACCTCCTTCCATCAGCAAGGGCATTGAAGATGAAACGTGGCTGGGTCTTTCAGCATGACAATGATCCCAAACACACCGCCCGGGCAACGAAGGAGTGGCTTCGTAAGAAGCATTTCAAGGTCCTGGAGTGGCCTAGCCAGTCTCCAGATCTCAACCCCATAGAAAATCTTTGGAGGGAGTTGAAAGTCCGTGTTGCCCAGCGACAGCCCCAAAACATCACTGCTCTAGAGGAGATCTGCATGGAGGAATAGGCCAAAATACCAGCAACAGTGTGTGAAAACCTTGTGAAGACTTTTGACCTGTGTCATTGCCAACAAAGGGTATATAACAAAGTATTGAGAAACTTTTGTTATTGACCAAATACTTATTTTCCACCATAATTTGCAAATAAATTCATAAAAAATCCTACAATGTGATTTTCCTGATATTTTTTTCTCATTTTGTCTGTCATAGTTGACGTGTACCTATGATAAAAATTACAGGCCTCTCTCATCTTTTTAAGTGGGAGAAGTTGCACAATTGGTGGTTGACTAAATACTTTTTTTCCCCACTGTATATATATAAACTACGGGTCAAAAGTTTTAGAATACTCATTCAAGGGTTTTTCTTTATTTTTACTATTTTCTACATTGTAGAATAATAGTGAAGACATCAAAACTATGAAATAACACATATGGAATCATGTAGTAACCAAAAACAAATCAAAATATATTTTATATTTGAGATTCCTCAAATAGCCACCCTTTGCCTTGATGACAGCTTTGCACACTCTTGGCATTCTCTCAACCAGCTTCATGAGGTAGTCACCTGGAATGCATTTCAATTAACTTTTTTTGTGGAATTTCTTTCATTCTTAATGCGTTTGAGCCAATCAATTGTGTTGTGACAAGGTAGGGGGGGTATATAGAAGATAGCCCTTATTTGGCAAAATACCAAGTCCATATTATGGCAAGAACAGCTCAAATAAGCAAAGAGAAACGACAGTCCATCATTACTTTAAGACATGAAGGTCAGTCAATACGGAATATTTCAAGAACTTTGAAGTTTCTTCAAGTGCAGTTGCAAAAACCATCAAGCGCTATGATAAAATTGGCTCTCATGAGGACCGCCACAGGATTGGAAGACCCAGAGTTACCTCTGCTGCAGAGGATAAGTTCAGTAGAGTTACCAGCCTCAGAAATTGCAGCCCAAATAAATGCTTCACCGAGTTCAAGTAACAGACACAGCTCAACATCAACTGTTCAGAGGAGACTGTGTGAATCAGGCCTTCATGGTCGAATTGCTGCAAAGAAACCACTACTAAAGGACACCAATAAGAAGAAGAGACTTGCTTGGGCCAAGAAACACGAGCAATGGACATTAGAACGGTCCTTTGGTCAGGAGTCCAAATTATAGATTTTTGGTTCCAACCGCTGTCTTTTGTGAGATGCGGTGTGGGTGAACGGATGATCTCCGCATGTGTATTTCCCACCGTAAAGCATGTAGGAGGAGGTGTTATGGTGTGGGGGTGCTTTGCTGGTGACACAGTCTGTGATTTATTTAGAATTCAAGGTGCACTTAACCAGCATGGCTACCACAGCATTCTGCAGCGATACGCCATCCCATCTGGTTTGGGCTTAGTGGGACTATCATTTGTTTTTCAACAGGACAATGACCCAACACACCTACAGGCTGTGTAAGGGCTATTTGACCAAGAAGGAGAGTGATGGAGTGCTGCATCAGATGACCTGGCCTCCACAATCCCCCGACATCAGCCAAATTGAGATGGTTTGGGATGAGTCGAACCTCGGAGTGAAGTAAAAGCGGCCAACAAGTGCTCAGCATATGTGGGAACTCCTTCAAGACTGTTGGAAAAGCATTCCAGGTGAAGCTGGTTGAGAGAATGCCAAGAGTGTGCAATGCTGTCATCAAGGCAAAGGGTGGCTATTTGAAGAATCTCCAATATAAAATATATTTTGATTTGTTTAACACTTTTTTTGGTTACTACATGATTCCATATGTGTTATTTCATAGGTTTGATGTCTTCACTATTATTCTACAATGTAGAAAATAGTGAAAATAAAGAAAAACCCTTGAATGAGTAGATGTTCTAAAACTTTTGACCGGTAGTGTGTATGTGTGTATGTGTGTATGTGTGTATGCATATATATACTGAACAAAAATAGAAACGCAACAATTTCAAAGATTTTACTGAGTTACAGTTCATATAAGGAAATCAGTCAATTGAAATGAATTCATTAGGCCCTAATCTATGGATTTCAAATGACTGGGAATACAGATATGCATATGTTGGTCACAGATACCTTAAAATAAAAAATAAAACCAGTCCGTTTCTGGTGTGACCCCCCCATTTGCCTCATGCAGCGCAACACATCTCCTTCGCATAGAGTTGATCAGGCTGTTGATTGCGGCCTGCGGAATGTTGTCGACTCCTGTTCAATGGCTGTGCTAAGTTGCTGGATATTGGCTGGAACTGGAACATACTGTCGTACACATCGATCCAGAGCATCCCTAACATGCTCAATTGGTTACATTTCTGGTGAGTATGCAGGCTGTGGAAGAACTGGGACATTGTTAGCTTCAAGGAATTGTGTACAGATCCTTGCGACATGGGGCTGTGCACTATCATGCTGAAACATGAGGTGATGGCGATGGATGAATGGCACGACCATGAATTCAAATTGCCATTGATAAAATGCAATTGTGTTTTTTGTCCTTAGCTTATGCCTGCCCATTCCCTAACCCCACCGCCACCATGGGGCACTGTTCACCACGTTGACATCAGCAAACCGCTCGCCCACAAGACGCCATACACGTGGTCTGCAGTTGTGAGGCCGGTTGGATGTACTGCCATATTCTCTAAAACGAAGTTGGAGGCGACTAATTGTAGAGAAGTTAACACTCAATTATCTGGCAACAGCTCTGGTGGACATTCCTGCAGGCAGCATGCAAATTGCATGCGCCCTCAACTTGAGACATCTGTGGCATTGTGTTGTGTGACAGAACTGCACATTTTAGAGTGGCCTTTTATTGTCCCCCAGCACAAGGTGCACCTGTGTAACGATCATGCTGTTTAATCAACTTCTTGATATGCCACACCTGTCAGGTGGAAGGATTATCTTGGCAAAGGAGAAATGCTCACTAACAGGGATGTAAACAAATTTGCACACCAAATTTGAGAGAAATACACTTTTTGTGTGTATGGGGGAAAATTCTGGGATCTTATGTACATGCGCCGAATACAACCGGTGTAGACCTTACAGTGAAATGCTTACTTACAAGCCCTTAACCTCAATGCAGTTTTAGACCATGATAGTTTGTTGGGGATGTGGACACCACACTTTACAAGTTGTGTTTATATTTTTGTTGAGTGTATATAATATCATCTTTGTCTCTCAAAATCATTGTAATGTGGTTAACCTTAAAAATCTAAATCAAAATTATTCAAACCTTAAAGGTGAAATTCAACCAGAGAGCGCCCTTAGATCGTGGGAAAAGGCTGCACTTGACCGGTGCACTTCAATCATTCCCACGGTGAATGGCTAAACCCACTACGCTATGAAACGACACACTATCGCAGAGACTGATATTAACGGCCGCAATTGATATGGTGAAAACAATGTGTGGGGAGACCGAGGCACAGAAACTCACATCAATACCTTTGTCAGATAACACTGTGAATCTTAAGAATAACTGTGAGGGCCGAGATGCCCGTGCATTGACTTTTGTTTGCTACATGTCAGGGGATGCTATTCACGAGGACATATTCCGTGTCACGATTCCCGAGCATGAAATGGCACAGGGGATGTTCAGTGTGCTGCGTAGCTATATTGCCGAAAAACTGACTCCATGGGATTAAATAGTGGGCTTTTGCACAGATGGGGCTCCATCTATCACGGGACTGCGGGCAAGCCTCTGCCCTCAAGTTATGAATGTGTCTCTCTCTGCCATATGGATACATTTTATGATACACCCACTGAGCTATAATGGATACACCGAGAGCAATTAGCAGCAAAAGAGCTGAGTGCAGAACTCGGAGATATGAAGCAGGTAACTTAGATTGTAAACTCCTTTGCACACCCCTATTCCCAAAACTATGTGGTGATATGGGATCAGAGCATGACAATGTTCTATTTCACACCGAGGCTTGGTGGTTATCGAGGGGGAGTGTTGAAAAAATTAAAATCATTGAGAGTAAAAAAAAACAATGGATGTAAAAAAAAAAACTGACTTAGTTGACTTTCTGTATAATGAAAACCGCAAGCATGCAGGGGAAATACAAAAAAAATTCTGCAGATGAGTGACCGAATCAGGGAAATCCGTTTGACTATGATCCTGGCTCAGTTGCCATGCCGGTAAGTGAAATCGAACTGCTGATTGAGCTGTCATGTGACCGAATGCTGCAGACAACGCATTCATGGGTCATCTATGGAGGAGTTTTGGTTCCTGACTCAAAGGGAATACTGTACCGAGCATTAAAACTCATGGTACGCTGATTCAGTGCCCTCCTCTGCATTTAAAAACAAATATCGATCCAGGTTGGATGTGACAGGAGAGATGAGGTGCGCACTGTAGACCACACCCCCTGATTTTGAGAACTCCGACGTGACATGCATCAAGCACACCCATCTTATTTTCAGATTAATTTGCAATTGACTGTCATAGCCCCACATTAAAAGTATATGATTGTGAGTTGAGAATACAATCAGAAATACTGTTGTAATGTTTTGAAATGACTGCCATAGCCCCAGTTAAAAAAGTAAACAAATGCTTTTCACATGGTTGGGGTCGCGAGAATTTTCCAATATCAGTGGGCCAAAAAGGTTGGGGAACTATTGTCTTATTGAGTGCTTGTTTCCTTTGAAATGGGGTCTGTTATATACTAAAATGAGATGGCTTTGTATGTGTAAAAAACATGACATGCCAGCTCCATCCTGGTGGCGCAGTGGACTAATTCCATGGATAGAGAACAGAAAATCATAGGTTGAAATCTCACTGATTTGCATGATTAATGCCTAAGGAAATGAATTTCCATGTGTCCTATCTGTGCTTGGAGTTCAAAAAAGTTAACGCAAACTAAGCTAGCAGTCGCCATTTCTCCCATAATTAATTTTACCGACACCATATCGAAATAACAAATTATCTGTCGACATTTATAAAATTGTACTGAAACAATTTGTTTCCATCAAAGCTGTCGTGATTTTTTTTTTTTATATGGGATGACTTTACTCGCATAACTGGATGGAAGCGTGGTTAGTGTTATTAAAAGTCGTATTGAAATATTTAGTAAGTTAAGGAAGTTATTAAAAAAACTCAAAATAACATATAATTTCTGTTCAAATAGCGTTAATAAAACCTCCCAGGAAATCTTTCAAGGAACCAGAGTAAAACGTTCGCAGAACCTCCCTGCAACCAAAAAATATACGTTCCCAAAACAGGCAAAAAAATATTCACTTCTGTAATCAGAATGATAAAAAAAAGTTCAGTTTTACCTGTCAGGAAACTTATGGCTTCCTTCCCACAACCAATGTGAAACCAAAAACATACATTCTCACAACTTCCAAGGAACCAAATGTGATAGCTGGGTCCTCACTTCCTGGTCTTATTTTCAGGGACAGATTTAGTAAACAGTCTTGCTTTGCCTCTTTCTCTCTGATGTAACCTAAGGAGCCTTTGACTCCTCCCTTTATCGCCCTTGCAGCAAACCTGAAAAAAGCAGAGCTTACCATGCAAACAAGACAATTTCAGTTGGATTGGGTGATAAAAGTACCTGGATTTCATTCTAGAAGTCTTACATTATCTGCATTTTCTGTCTTTAGAATGGACAATCAGCCACATGGTATTTTCTGAATTAAGAACACTGCAGTCACAACTTTTTTGCTTTACCTTTGAGAATCTAAGATGTAAATGTAAATGTGGACAACACATCTGACATATCAACAGACTGTGACATTACAAACTCAGTTTTTTGGCATAAGCATATTTTATCATGGAGTGGAGACATGTTTTGTTTAGTTCAGAGCAGTCGAGGCTGGTGTCACTGGTTCAGAGATATTAAGTGGACTTTAATGGTAAACAAACTAGGATTCATATCATATCAGCAATGGCATTATTTGGAGGAATTCAATTTGAGGGAAACATTAACCTATAGGTATGGGGAGGGGCATTGAAAGGTCCTGGTTATGTTACGGTGTGGTTGGGTGTTTTCCACCAATTTTCATTTTTTGATAATTTGAGTCATAGGTCATCATGGGTCACACCATTGCCCTGCTGTCATTGCACAGAAGAACAGAGGGGCCCTGGACCACACAATTTACTGCTTCTTTACCACCTTTCCTGTGTGGAATGACATTGTTTCAATCTTGTCTGTCAGCCAGGTGTCTTCTAGTCAAATTTAGTCAGGTAGTTCCAACAAGGAGTTCCACTATCAGTCTGTTTACATGACAGTTAATCTGTCACTCAACTGCTTTAACACATTTTAGAGACAAAAGGATTTATATATATTTTTATTGATATACACTGAACAAAAATATAACCGCAACATGTAATGTGTTGGTCCCATGTTTCATGAGCTGAAATATAAGATCCCAGAAATGTTCCATACTTACAAAATACTTATTCCTCTTAAATTGTGTGCACAAATTTGTTTACATCCCTGTTAGTGAGCATTTCTTCTTTGCCAAGATAATCCATCCACCTAACAGGTGTGGCATATCAAGAAGCTTTAAACAGCATGATCATTACACAGGTGCACCTTGTGCTGCGGACTATAAAAGGCCACTCTAAAATGTACAGTTTTGTCACACAACACAATGCCACAGATGTCTAAAGTTTTCAGGGAGTGTGCAATTGGCATGCTGACTGCAGGAATGTCCACCAGAGCTGTTGCCAGAGAATTGAATGTTCATTTCTCTACCATAAGCAACCTCCAACGTTGTTTTAGAGAGTTTGGCAGTACGTCTAACTGGCCTCACAACCACAGACCACGTGTATGGCTTTGTGGGTGAGTGGTTTGCTGATGTCAACGTTGTGAACAGAGTGCCCCATGGTGGCGGTAGATTATGGTATGGGCAGGCATAAGCTACGGACAACGAACACAATTGTATTTTATCGATGGCAATTTGAATGCGCAGAGATACCGGGACGAGATCCTGAGGCCCATTGTCATGCCATTCATCTGCTGCCATCACCTCATGTTTCAGCATGATAATGCATGGCCCCATGTCGCAAGGATCTGTACACAATTCCTGGAAGCTAAGAAAATGTCCCAGTTCTTCCATGGCCTGCATACTCTCCAGACATGTCACCCATTGAGCATGTTTGGGATGCTCTGGATCGACGTGTACGACGACGTGTTCCAGTTCCCGCCAATATCCAGCGACTTTGCACATCCATTGTGGCCTGTGGAATGTTGTCCCACTCCTCTTCAATCAACAGCCGGATCAACTTTATGCGAAGGAGATGTGCCGCGCTGCATGAGGAAAATGGTGGTCACACCAGATACTGACTGGTTTTCTGATCCACGCCCCTACCTTTATTTAAGGTATCTGTGAGCAACAGATGAATATCTGTATTCCCAGTCATGTGAAATCCATAGATTAGGGCCTAACAAATGTATTTCAATTGACTGATTTCCTTATATGAACTGTAACTCAGTAAAATCCTTGAAAGTATTCTGATCCCTTGACTTTTTCCACATCTTGTTACGTTACAGCCTTATTCTAAAATGGATTGTATTTGGTATTTTATTAGGATCCCCATTAGCTGTTTCAAAAGTAGCAGCTACTCTTCCTGGGGTCCACACAAAACATGAAACATGACATAATACAGAACATTAATAGACAAGAACAGCTCAAGGACAGAACTACATAAAAACATTTTCTAAAGGCACATGTAGCCTACATATCAATACATACACACAAACGAGATAGGTCAAATAGGGGAGGTGTTGTGCCGTGAGGTGTTGCTTTATCTGTTTTTTGAAACCAAGTTTGCTGTTTATTTGAGCAATATGAGATGGAACGGAGTTCCGTGCAATAAGGGCTCTATATAATACTGTACGCTTTCTTGAATTTGTTTTGGATTTGGGGACTGTGAAAAGACCCCTGGTGGCATGTCTGGTGGGGTAAGTGTGTGTGTCAGAGCTGTGTGTAAATTGACCATGCAAACATTTGGGGATTTTTAACACATGAAAATAACAAGTGATGCAGTCAGTCTCTCCTCAACTCTTAGCCAAGAGAGAATGGCATGCATTGAATTTATATCAGCCCTCTGATTACAATGAAGAGCAAGATGTGCCGCTCTGTTCTGTGCCAGCTGCAGCTTAACTAGGTCTTTCCTTGCAGCACTCGACCAGCCGACTGGACAATAATCAAGATGAGACAAAACTAGAGCCTGCAGAACTTGATTTTTGGAGTGTGGTGTCAAAAGCAGAGCATCTCTTTATTACGGACAGACCTCTCCCAATCTTTACAACCATTGAATCTACAGTGCCTTCAAAATGTATTCAGATCCCTGAAATACCTTATTTACATACCACAGGTGCATCCTGTTTCCATTGATCATCCTTGATATGTTTCTACAACTTGATTGGAGTCCACCTGTGGTAAATTCAATTGATTGGACATGATTTGGAAAGGCACACACCTGTGCAAAAAACCTGAAGGTCGAAGGAATTGTCCGTAGAACTCTGAGACAGGATTGTGTCGAGGCACAGATCTGGGGAAGGGTACCAAAAAAGGTCCCCAAGAACACAGTGGCCTCCATCATATACTTATATGGAAAAAGTTTGGAACCACCAAGACTCTTCCTAGAACTGGCTGTCTGGCCAAACTGAGCAATTGGGGGAGAAGGGCCTTGGTCAGGGAGGTGACCAAGAACTCGATGGTCACTCTGACAAAGCTCCAGAGTTCCTCTGTGGAGATGGGACCATCTCTGCAGCACTCCACCAATCAGGCCTTTGTGGTAGAGTGGCCAGACAGAAGCCACTACTCAGTAAAAGGCACATTACAGCCCGCTTGGAGTTGGCCAAAAGGCACCTAAAGACTCTCAGACCATCAGAAACAAGATTCTCTGCTCTAATGAAACCAAGATTGAACACTTTGGCCTGAATGCCAAGTGTCACGTCTGGAGGAAACCTGGCACCATCCCTACGGTGAAGCATGGTGGTGGCAGCATCATGCTGTGGGGATGTTTTTCAGCAGCAGGGACTGGGACACTACTCAGGATCGAGGGAAAGATGAACGGAGCAAAGTACAGAGAGATCCTTGATGAAAACCTGCTCCAGAGCGCTCAGGATCTCAGACTGTGGTGAAGGTTCACCTTCCAACAGGACAACGACCTTAAGCACACAGCCAAGACAACGCAGGAGTGGCTTCGGCATAAGTCTCTGAATGTCCTTGAGTGGCCCAGCCAGAGCCCGGACTTGAACCTGATCGAACATCTCTGGAGAGACCTGAAAATAGCAGTGCAGCAATGATCCCCATCCAACCTGACAGAGCTTGTTTATTTTCTAAAAACCTGTTTTTGCTTTGTCATTATGAGGTATTGTGTGTAGATTGATGAGGGAAAAAAACAATTTAATCAATTTTAGGATAAGGCTGTAACGTAACAAAATGTGGAAAAAGTCAAGCGGTCTGAATCCTTTCCGAATGCACTGTATATGTTTTGACCATGACAGTTTACAATCTAAGGTAATGCCAAGTAATTTAGTCTCCTGAACTTGTTCAACAGCCACACCATTCATTACCAGATTCAGCTGAGGTCTAGAACTTAGGGAATGATTTGTACCAAATACAATGCTCTTAGTTTTAGAGATGTTCAGGACCAGTTTATTACTGGCCACCCATTCCAAAACAGACTGCAATTCTTTGTTAAGGGTTTCAGTGACTTCATTAGCTGTGGTTGCTTATCCGTATATGGTTGAATCATCAACGTACATGGACACACATGCTTTGTTTAATGCCAGTGGCAGGTCATTGGTAAACGTAGAAGAGTAGAGGGCCTAGAGAGCTGCCCTGCGGTACACCACACTTTACAAGTTTGACATTAGAGAAGCTTCCATTAAAGAAAACCCTTTGAGTTCTATTAGACAGATAGCTCTGAATCCACGATATGGCAGAGGTTAAAAAGCCATAACACCATTTTTTTAAACAACAGGTTATGGTCAACAATATCGAAGGCTGCACTGAAATCTAACAGTACAGCTCCCACAATCTTCTTATTATCAATTTATTTCAACCAATCATCAGTCATTTGTGTCAGTGAAGTAAGTGTTGAGTGCCCTTCTCTATAAGCATGGGGAAAGTCTGTTGTTAATTTATTTACAGAGAAATAGCATTGTATTTGGTAAAACACATTTTTTCCAACAGTTTGCTAAGAGCTGGCAGCAAGCTTATAGGTCTGCTGTTAGAACCAGTAAAGGCCGCTTTACCATTCCTGGGTAGCGGAATTACTTTAGCTTCCCTCCAGGCCTGAGGACAAAGACTTTCCTCTATGCTCAGATTAAAGATATGACAGATAGGAGAGGCTATAGAGTCAGCTACCATCCTCAGTAGCTTTCCATCTAAGTTGTCAATGCCATGAGGTTTGTCATTATTGATCGATAACAATAATTTTTTCCACCTCTCCCACACTAACTTTACAAAATTCAAACTTGCAATGCTTTTCTTTCATTATTTGTTTTTCTATGCATGAATACGATGCCTCAGTGTTCGCTGTTGGCATTTCCTGCCTAAGTTTGCCCACTTTGCCAATGAAGTAACCATTACAATAATTGGCAACATCAAATGGTTTTGTAATTAATAAGCCATCTGATTCGATGAAAGATGGAGTTGAATTTGTCTTTCTGCCCATCATTTCATTTAAAGTACTCCAAAGTTTTTATTCCATCATTCTTTATATCATTGATCTTGGCTTCATAATACAGTTTCTACTTTTTGTTGAGTTTAGTCACATCATTTCTCAATTTGCAGTAAGTCAGTCAGTCAGATGTGCAGCCAGACTTATTAGCCACTCCTTTTGCCCCATCTCTTTCAACCATACAGTTTTTCAATTCCTCATCAATCAATGGAGCATTAACAGTTCTAACAGTCAGTTTCTTAACAGGTGCATGTTTATCAATATTTGGAAGAAGCATTTCATAAATTAATCAAGTGCAGCGTCTGGATGCTCCTTATTAATCACATCAGACCAACAAATATTTTTAAAATCATCCACATAAGAGTCACAGCAAAATCTTGTGTATGATCTCTTAAACACTATTTTAGGCCCAGCATTTGGAACTTTGGCTTTCCTGGCTATAGCCACTATATTGTGATCACTGCATCCAATGGGTACGGATACAGCTTTAGAACAAAGTTCTACAGTATTAGTAAAAATGTGATTGATACATGTGGATGGTCTTGTTCCTGTGGTGTTTGTAAACACCCTGGTAGGTTGATTAATAACCTGAACCAGATTACAGGCACTGGGTACAGTGAGAAGCTTCCTCTTGAGCGGACAACTTGATGAAAACCAGTCCATATTCAGGTCCCCAAGAAAGTAGACCTCTCTGTTTACATCACATATACTATCAAGCATTTCACACACATTATATAGATGCTGACTGTAAGCACTTGGTGGCCTATAGCAACACCCTAAAATAATAGGCTTTAGATGAGGCAGATAAACCTGCAACCACAACACTTCAATAACACTTGACATGAGATCTTCTCTGAATACATACAGCAACAGCTCCCCCATAGGCATTCCTGTCTCTTCTGTAGATATGATTTCCTTGTATTGCTACTACTGTATCATCAAATGAATTATTAAAGTGAGTCTCAGAAATGGTTAATATTAATGTTATCTGATGTTCACAGGTTATTGATTTCATTAACCTTATTTCTAAGACTACATATATTAATATGGTCTATTTTCAGCCCTTTCCTGGGTAGCTTATCAGAGATAGACATAATACTGAAAAGAGCAAACAAAGCAAGAGAAAAAAATATACATTCAGCAGTGCATTAATGAATTGGTGTGTGTGTGTGTGTGCTGCGGGGTTGAAGCTACGAGCCCGTAGGCTTGGCTCTCTCATCCCTTCCAGGCTTCTGGGAGGGAGGGTGGACAATGAGCCTGTCATAGTGGATGTAAACAATATCGCCACGCGCTCTGGCAGCTTTCATGGCTGGGATAAGTTATTTCCTCTTCTGGCGCACAGCTTCAGGATAGTCCTCATTGAGGAAGATATACAGTACCAGTCAAACGTTTGGACACACATTTACATTACATTTACATTTTAGTCATTTAGCAGACGCTCTTATCCAGAGCGACTTACAGGAGCAACACCTACTCATTGAATGGTTTTTCTTTATTTTTACTATTTTCTACATTGTAGAATAATAGTGAAGACATCAAAACTATGAAATAACACATATGGAATCATGTAGTTACCAAAAAAGTGTTAAACAAATCAAAATATATTTTATATTTGAGATTCTTCAAATAGCCACCCTTTGCCTTGATGACAGCTTTGCACAATCTTGGCATTCTCTCAACCAGCTTCTTGAGGTAGTCACCTGGAATGCCTTTCAATTAACAGGTGTGCCTTCTTAAAAGTTAATTTGTGGAATTTCTTTCCTTCTTAATGCGTTTGAGCCAATCAGTTGTGTTGTGAGAAGGTAGGGGGGGTATACAGAAGATAGCCCTATTTGGTAAAAGACCATATTATGGCAAGAACGGCTCAAATAAGCAAAGTGAAACGACAGTCCATCATTACTTAAGACATGAAGGTCAGTCAATCCGGAACATTTCAAGAACTTTGAAGTTTCTTCAAGTGCAGTTGCAAAAACCATCAAGTGCTATGATGAAATTGGCTCTCATGAGGACCGCCACAGGAATGAAAGACTCAGAGTTACCTCTGCTGCAGAGGATAAGTATATTAGAGTTACCAGCCTCAGAAATTGCAGGCCAAATAAATGCTTCACAGAGTTCAAGTAACAGACACAGCTCAACATCAACTGTTCAGAGGAGACTGTGTGAATCAGGCCTTCATGGTCGAATTGCTGCAAAGAAACCACTACTAAAGGACACCAATAAGAAGAAAGGCACACACCTGTCTATATAAGGTCCCACAGTTGACAATGCATGTCAGAGCAAAAACCAAGCCATGAGGTTGAAGGAATTGTCCGTAGAGCTCCGAGACAGGATTATGTCGAGGCACAGATCTGGGAAAGGATACCAAAACATTTCGGCAGCATTGAAGGTCCCCAAGAACACAGTGGCCTCCATCATTATTAAATGGAAGAATGTTGGAACCACCAAGACTCTTCTTAGAGCTGGCCGCCCGGCCAAACTGAGCAATCGGGGGAGAAGGGCCTTGGTCAGGGAGGTAGCCAAGAACCCGATGGTCACTCTGATAGAGCCCTAGAGTTCCTCTGTGGAGATGGGAGAACCTTCCAGAAGGACAACCATCTCTGCGGCACTCCACCAATCAGGCTTTATGGTAGAGTGGCCAGACGGAAGCCACTCCTCAGTAAAAGTCACATGACAGCCCGCTTGGAGTTGGCCAAAAGGCACCTAAAGGACTCTCAGACCATGAGAAACAAGATTCTGGTCTGGTCTGATGAAACCAAGATTGAACTCTTTGGCCTGAATGCCAAGCGTCACGTGTGGAGGAAAACTGGCACCATCCCTATGGTGAAGCATGGTGGTGGTAGCATCAAGCTGTGGGGATGTTTTTCAGCTGCAGGGACTGGGAGATTAGTCAGGATCGAGGGAAAGATGAACAGAGCAAAGTACAGCGAGATCCTTGATGAAAACCTGCTCCAGACCGCTCAGGACCTCAGACTGGGGTGAAGGTTCACCTTCCAATAGGACAACGACCCTAAGCACACAGCCATGACAACGCAGGATTGGCTTTGGGACACGTCTCTGAATGTCCTTGAGTGACCCAGCTGGAGCCCGGACTTGAACCCGATCTAACATTTCTGGAGAGACCTGAAAATAGCTGTGCAGCAACGCTCACCATCCAACTTGACAGAGCTTGAGAAAATCTGCAGAGAAGAATGGGAGAAACTCCCCAAATACAGGTGTGCCAAGCTTGTAGTGTCATACCCAATAAGACTCGATGCTGTAATCGCTGCCAAATGTGCTTAAACAAAGTACTGAACAAAGGGTCTGAATACCTATGTAAATGTGATATTTCTGTTTTTTATTATTTATTAATTGAAACATTTCTAAAAACCTGTTGTTGCTTTGTCATTATGGAGTATTGTGTGTAGATTAATGAGGGGGAAAAAACTATATAATCCATTTTGAGGCTGTAACGTAACAAAATGTGGAAAAGGTCAAGGGGTCTGAATACTTTCCAAATGCACTGTAAAAGCGTTTCCACTGACATTTCATTTGATTTTTACAGACACTAAAAGATCCCACCTTGTCTAGCATATTTTGTTTTATCGACATTTGGAAAGTTAACCGGCAAATGTTCTGTTTCCATCAGACCTATCATTACATTTTTTATCAGACATGTACACTACCTTTCAAAAGTTTGGGGTCACTTAGAAATGTCCTTGTTTTTGAAAGAAAAGCAATTTTTTTGTCCATTAAAATAACATCAAATTGATCAGAAATACAGTGTTGACATTGTTAATGTTGTAAATGGCTATTGTAGCTGGAAACTGCTGATTTTAATGGAATATCTACATAGGTGTACAGAGGCCCATTATCAGCAACCATCAGTCCTGTGTTCCAATGGCACATTGTGTTTGCTAATCCAAGTTTATCATTTTAAAAGGCTAATTGATCATTAGAAAACCCTTTTGCAATTATGTTAGCACAGCTGAAAACTGTGCTTCTTGAGACTAGTTGAGTATCTGGAGCATCAGGAATTGTGGGTTCGATTACAGGCTCAAAATGGCCAGAAACAAATAACTTTCTTCTGAAACTCGTCAGTCTATTCTTGCTCTGAGAAATGAAGGCTATTCCATGCGAGAAATTGCCAAGAAACTGAAGATCTCATACAACGCTGTGTACTACTCCCTTCACAGAACAGCGCAAACTGTCTCTAACCAGAATAGAAAGAGGAGTGGGAGGCCCCAGTGCACAACTGAGCAAGAGGACAAATACATTAGTGTCTAGTTTGAGAAACAGGCACCTCACAGGTCCTCAACTGGCAGCTTCATTAAATAGTACCCGCAAAACACCAGTCTCAACGTCAACAGTGAAGAGGCGACTCTGGGATGCTGACCTTCTAGGCAGAATTGCAAAGAAAAAGCCATATCTCAGACTGGCCAATAAAAAGAAAAGATTAAGAATTAAGATGCTCTTAGTTTGATGTAAATGTGTTTAATTCACTTGTTGCATAGTATTTGTAACAACTACAATCTAAGTGGGCTATGTATGAACAGTCCGTTCTTAAATATGGTTAGCAGCATAAATATTTTTGGTTTCCCCTTATCATATCCTGCCCTCTGCCCTTACCTTACTGTTCTCAATCAAAATACTTACATTTAGCTGACAAAGAAAACTTATAATTTCCCTACCTGGGATTTTACTAGCTGTGATCACAATGGCACAACATCACAATGTGCTAACACAAAGGGGGACTCTTATTTCTAGTAATGAATTGAGTAATGAATTAAAGTCACACTGTACATCAGGGGCGGTGTGTTCAATAGGGCGATATGGGCGACGCACTGCCAAACGGGAAAAGGAAGGGATTTTTTTTCTAATCAATTATATCACGGCAACAGTAGTTATCAGTGTTCTAATCTGATCTGACTGCCACTAAATGTCAAATCAGGCTAAAGTCGTGCTTCAAATGGCCCCGCCCGTTTTTGGGGCGATTTCAGTCATGTTGAAAATCGCCCAGAAGTCTGTCATAGACTCCCATGTAAAATCTATTTTTTTCAAATTTCAAAGCTTTCAATACAATCTCTATGGGTGTCTGTGGGCTTGCACTTACGCGCTTTCGTCATACGTGACGTAACCATGAACGTAACTAAGAAAATAGCGGCTAGCAGCGTCTCTGTTGCGACCTGCAGTGTGGCGTTATCTTATGTTTTTAATTTGTACACTTAGTGGCGTTATTTTATGTTTTTAATTTGTACACTTAGTTTACAAACATTCTGCCAACCATGGATTTCCAGTGGTGGGTTTTGGACTGATCTTGTTGATCGTGTACATACCCGCTACGAACGGACTAAATAATGAAAACGCTGCTGGCAGCGGAATCCAATACAGCTGGGAGACTTGGCTGGATGACAGAGTCCCGGACAGAGAAGTGGAGCCGGCCGGCTTCACCCTGGTCAGAGCGGACCGCGATCTGACACAGTCACAGGGAAAATCGATCCTGGTAAGAGAGCGACTCTGTACCCCCGACATTGAACTGCTTTCTGTGTCACTGCGACCTTACTATCTGCCCCGTGAGTTCCCCCAATTGTTTGTTACCGTTGTGTACTGTTGATAATCACAAGTTTACTGGAGAACTGAGACCAAGTAGAGACTTTGGACAGGGTGGATATGGTATAATAAAGGCAGTTTATTCAGAGGTATAGATATCTGGAATCGCGTGCACGGACTCGTTCGTCAAACTCTTAGGGAGCTATCTGAAGAGAGCCCCGAAAACATTGTGTGCAGACATTTTATACAATAAATGATGTAGGTTGAATCTAGTAGTTCTGATCTTCTGATTGGTCCTGATGAGTTGGGCGAGGTCCCCTCCACTGTTGCATTGGCTCTGAGTCGGGTTCTCTGTCTTCAAATGTTCAGCCTAAAGAGAGGGGATTTTTGTGTGTGTGTGTGTGTGTGTTTAACAGTGATGATGTGTGTGTGTGTGTGTGTGTGTTATCAGTGATGATGTGTGTGTGTGTGTGTGTGTGTGTGTGTGTGTGTGTCCTCAGAGCAAGAACTCGTGAGTTGGAAGAACTGAGAGACCTATGGCGTGGGTGTTGTCCTTGGCCACCTGCTGACAAGGCTGACAAGATAGGACTCTTTTGTCCATTGTTATAGGATAGGAACAGCATTGATTGAAAACAAACGCCCAACACAAAATGGGTCATGCACAAGATTTTAGTCAGACCAAGCTATAACATTATATATTTACTACGACAGTACATTCAACCAAAAGCTAATATAACAAAGGCATCAGAGATTATTTATAATCTGTCACAGAAACTGGAATCCATCTCCCCAGATCAGTCAATAAATGCTTCTGGTATTGATTTATATGCTGCCCCTGTCTTCATGTTGTTGCTGGACATATCTTTTTTTAAATGTGTGTAGGTCACCTAAATCATCAGAAAAATTGCCCCTCCTGAGAATTTTTTCAGGAGCCGCCACTGCTGTACATACCATCAATAAGTGGGCTATTAACAAAAACAATAGTGCAAATACATCCCATCAGATGTTCCCATGCAAATAACATGTATATGATGTATCTGTAGTATTCAAGGAATAACATTCCATGAGAGCAACATTATCTTTTACAAACATGATTTAAAGCTCTACATAATTTGGCTACAATTCAAAGCTACCTTTTTTGGTAATTATCAGGTAGAACAAACCTAATCCCATTGAGGTATTTCTTCTAAATTAAGGGGTGTATTTAGTCAGTTGAAATTACTTGAAATCTTAATCTTAGACTGTGGCTTTAAAATCTTTCTCTCAGGGTTTTATTATATTACTGCTTCTCCTTACACATTCACACTGAGTTATCAGGCCAAGAAAGACCATTTTGAAGCGGTCTTAGTCAATGGTAGTGAAGCTGTCTCAATGGTAGTGGTTAATCACATGCATGCACTATTCATGCTTAACTGGTTATAACACGCTTATACATACGTTTACAAATTGTCCTCACAGCTTATTACACTGACTTCCTATAACAAGTTTAGTTGATTCCATTCATAGCTACCTGATGCCATATTGACTTATCAGTGCTGATTCAGTTCCCCTGTTATTCTATTTTCTAACAGCGAAAAAGGCCAGTGAGCAGGTAGAGGTTGAGATTGAGCCCATGGCTCCTCAGACACATTCTCCAGAAAACTCTCCCTCAGACAACTTCACTGAGTCCGGCCCTCCTCTGGGAGGTGCTCCAGGAAAAACCAAGAGACCAGCAAACAGCGGCAGTGTCTCCAGGAAACCCTCTGAGGATACGCCCCCTGTCAAACTACCAACCCCCCCCAAATCCAGCCCCTCTCCGTCCCCTGAGGTCCCAAACACCTCAGCCTCCAGACACCACGAAACAGGGGCCCTGAGGATCGTCAAGACCTCCTTCACCATCCCCAAGAAGCAGCCTGTCACCCCCACTCCACCCTCACCTTTGCCCCCAGTCCCACTGAATGAAACCAGGACCCTGCCTGTGTCCCCAGCCCCAATCGCCCCTTCCTCCAGACCCCCCCAGCCAGCCAACAACCAGGTCAGGCAGAGCATCCAACGCTCTCTCACCAACATCCTGTTCAAGAGGTGAATATAGAAAGATGCAAGCATATAGAGATGGTGGATACCATTTCTCTCTCGCTTTCTCTCTCTCTCTCTCTCTCTCTCTCTCTCTCTCACACACACACACGCTGGATGACATTGATTGACAAAGCAGCATTGCTTGAGCTCTTTTGAGTGTAGGACAACATTTTTATTGAAAGATGACTAATTGCATTTTGATTTTATAAGGGTGTGCGACTGTGACGATTTGGAGAGGTCTGAGAGTGAAGTGGGAAAGCTGGTCACCAACATCGAGACGGAAATGTTTAACATATTTAACAATACAGACAGCAAGTACATGAACAAGTACCGAACCATCATGTTCAACCTTAAAGACCCCAAAAATAAGGTTGGTCTTCAGATGGCAGAAAAAACACGTGCCTTATCATACGAATACAATCTCAACTCCAGTTATACAATACAATTATCTGCTATACAGATTCATTCAAAAAGTTGTCAAAACCACTATTCAATTTAACAAATATGCCCATGTCACAAAGTAGACTTCTAGTTCACCATGTGGTTGTACGCTTCACTGATTGTCTCTTATTTGGGTGGGTCTCCAGGGTTTGTTCTACAGCGTCATCCGTGGTGAGGTCAGTCCCTTCAGACTGGCCAGGATGAGCCAGCGGGACATGCAGGCCACAAAGGTGTCTGAGCTGAGCAAAAGGGACACTCTAGCGGTAGAGTATAATTATGATAGCTTCATCTTATTTAGTATGGCAGTCAGTTACACTTTATTTGGATAGTCCCATATACAATATATACAAAAGTATGTGGACACCCCTTCAAATTAGTGGATTAGGTTATTTCAGCCACACCCGTTGCTACATGTGTATAAAATCGAGCACACAGCCATGCAATCTCTATAGTGAAACATTGGCAGTAGAATGGCCTTACTGAAGAGCTCAGTGACTTTCAATGTGGCACCGTCATAGGATGCCACCTTTCCAACAAGTCAGTTTGTCAAACTTCTGCCCTGTTAGAGCTGCCCCGGTCAACTGTAAGTGCTGTTATTGTGAAGTGGAAACGTCTAGGAGCAACAACGGCTCAGCCGCATAGTGTTAGGCCACATAAGTTTACATTTAAGTAAGTTCACAGAACGGGACCGCCAACAGCTGAAGTGTGTAAAGATCATCTGTCCTCGGTTGCAACACTCACTACTGAGTTCTATGAGTTCCAAACGGCCTCTGGAAGCAACGTCTGCACAAGAACTGTTCGTTGAGAGCTTCATGAAATGGGTTCCCATGGCCGAGCAGCTGCACACAAGCCTAAGATCACCATGCGCAATGCCAAGCGTCGGCTGGAGTGGTGTAAATCTCGCCGCCATTGGACTCTGGAGCAGTGGAAACACGGTCTCTGGAGTGATGAATCACGCTTCACCATCTGGCAGTCCGACAGACAAATCTGGGTTTGGCGGATTCCAGGAGAACGCTATCTGCATAATGCTTAGTGCCAACTGTAAAGTTTGGTGGAGGAGGAATAATGGTCTGGGGCTGTTTTTCAAGGTTCGGGCTAGGCCCCTTAGTTCCAGTGAAGGGAAATCTTAACGCTACAGCATACAATTACATTTTAGACGATTCTGTGCTTCCAACTTTGTTGCAACAGTTTGGGTAAGGCCCTTTCCTATTTCAGCATGACAATGTCCCTGTGCACAAAATTAGGTCCATACAGAAATGGTTTGTCAAGATCGGTGTGGAAGATTTTGACTGGCCTGCACAGAGCCCTGACCTCAACCCCATCAAACACCTTTGGGATAAATTGGAACGCTGACTGGTAGCCAGGCCTAGTCGCCGAACATCAGTGCCCGACCTCACTAATGCTCTTGTGGCTGAATGGAAGCAAGTCCCCCGCAGAAATGTTCCAACATCTAGTGGGAAGCCTTCCCGGAAGAGTGGAGGCTGTTATAGCAGCAAAGCGGGGACCAACTCCATATTCATGCCCATGATTTTGGAATGAGATGTTCGACGAGCTTGTGTCCACATACTTTTGGTCATGTAGTGTAGATGATCTACAGATGGTCAAACTATCAGCAAACTGTCTGTTGATAAGCAACTGCTTGGTTAGGGTAAGGTTTAGAATAAAGGTTAGGGTTTGGTTAAGGGTTTAGTTTAGGGCTAAGGTTAGTGCATAGTTAGTTGCAATGTTGTTGACAGTTATTGAACATCTACTGAACATCTACAAAGCATCTACTAGGGACTATCCATAAAAGTGTTACCAAACAAACATACCTCAATTATCATACGTCAATGAGAACTGTATTTATCATCCATAACTTGACAAGTTGATTGAGTTGCTGTGTTCTAATTCCCTGATTGTTGTCGGTGTGTCTTGCAGGTCCAGGAGTCTGGGCCCAAAGCCCCATGTGTGCTGCCAAATCAAGCGCCTGAGCCAGTGAAGGTTGACCTACCCAGTCTTCCCTCCAGGACAAATAGACACATGGTATGCACACAAAACATTATGAACATTAACATTGTGCTCTTTCCTTGACAGACTGACCAGGTGAATCCAGGTGAAAGCTATGATCCCTTATTGATGTCACTTGTTAAATCCACTTCAATCAGTGTAGATGAAGGGGAGGAGACAGGTTAAAGAAGGATTTTTAAGCCTTGAAACAACGGGGGTGGGGGGGTGTACAACTCAATATTAGGAAGGTGTTCTTTTTAAAATGTATGCCAAACAAAAAACTATGATTTCAAAGTTAAACAAAACTCTATGCACAAGGACGACTTTTAACAATTTCCAGTGAACATTTTACAAAAACATATTTACTTTACAGATGCAAAGTTTGGTATCAAAATGACGGCACAAACCGCACAAAGCATCATTCTGTTACCGTGGAATTGCTCATAACCTCCGCATTTTGCATGTGGCTGTACCTTTTACGTGTTATCTAACATGTATTGTCTAGTCATGTTGATGAAACAAAACATCTAGGAATCAGTTCATCTTCAAATGTGGCACACATTTTATTAGATTAGTGTGTGTGTGTGTCTCTGTCTGTGCTTGTGTGTCTGTGTCTCTGAGTGTGTGAATCTGTGTGTAACATTTTAGTAAACGAGTGTGTGACATGATCCTCTTTTCTCAGGAACAGAAGAGCACTCTCCCTGCTGCCCTTAAGGCCAGACCTAGCCAGTCGAGCCAGAGCAGCTCAGTGCCAGACATCCTCAGCTGCATGCTGAAAGACACAACTGCCGAGCACAGAGCTCACCTGTTTGACCTCAAGTGCAAGATCTGCACAGGTAAATGGAAAAAAGAGAAAGCAAAATTACAGTGTACACATCACAACATCCAACAAACACCATAAAATGATGTTCGCCTTTTGCACTCTTTCAAACTATGATAGTGAAGGGCAACAGGGTCGGCTCCAGTGTTGATATCAACCACAATCACTCCCAACGTCAAATTACTGATTTAATGCACTTGTATTCTGTAGAGGGTAATGATGCTGCTAACAGATGTTTTGTTTGGGTTGGTGTCTGTTTCTGCCCTTCAGGTCAGATATCAGTCGAGGATGAGGAGGAGCCTTTACCCAAGAAGCCTAAACTCTCTGGGTCATCGCCGTCCTCCACCAAACCAGACGAATGGAGAGACAGGCCGTCTCGGCCACCCTGGATGTATGCCAGAACAGATCTCAGAACAGAGGATAGAGGATGGAGAACTCCAGCAGGAGATGAATCACCCCTCCTTGCACCCCCCGACTCCCCCACCATGGATTCCCCTGCCTCCCCCATAATTGAGGATGACCCTACCTTAACCATCATGGAATCCCCCACTTCTCCCACAATGGAATCTCCAGCTTCTCCAACAATGGAATCCCCTGCCTCCCCCATTTTGGAATCCCCCGCCTCCCCTATTCCAGAAAACTGCAAAGCCAAGACACCATCCAGAATGTATACCCCAGTCATGATCCCGGCTGTTTCTACGGTAACCATCACAAGGTGTGACCCCCGCACCACTGGCAACCGTTCTGCTGCTCTGTATGGTGACCCCCGCACCGCTGGCAACTGCACTCCCGCCATGGCAAGTGTCGCCTTGTCTACAGCCCCACCTCCACCAGTCTCTTATGTCCCTGCGAAACAGAGTGGTACTCTGAGCAAGCCATTCATGCCCTTGCCACCACCCCCATCCCTGCCACCAATTCCAGCATTACCCAAATCTATTCTGATGAAGCCATCCTCCTCATCGTTCTATGGTTCATCTGGATCATCTGCATCCTCTTCAAGGTATCTCCTCTCAGCTTGCCAAAATCACTACAAGTGAACCTTGATAAGAAAGGGTTTTAAGAAAATTAGTGCATGTTCATTTCAGTCATAATATGAATCTTGTTTCGTCCTCTGTGCATGAGCTATATTTGCTTTACAGCTGAGTGAATCGGCAGTAGTGAACTCTCATTGTGATGTTGTGTTTGCAGGTCTGTGAACTCCCACTCCCCTCCAGACGGGGAGACGGTCCAGTTCCTGGCCAAGCAGGAAGTAGTGTGGAAGGGCTTCCTCAACATGATCAGCGTAGCCAAGTTTGTCACCAAGGGCTATCTGGTCTCAGGGCCCTCCGAATATCTCAAAGAGGTAACAAATATAACAGAACAGAACTTTGGTACCGTGACTGCAGGAGGAAAAAATAGGCGAGCATTGTCAGATACAGTATTTTTGGATAGTTTATTTATGAACATTTAAGACAATACATAAACAAACAACATAGCAGTTCTGGCTATGTGGATATTAACAACAAGTTTATTTTGTTCAGGATCTGCCTGATACCATCCAGATTGGTGGAAGAATCATGCCTCAAACTGTGTGGGACTACATCGGTAGAGTGAAGACCTCTGTTACAAAGGCAAGCCCTCCCTCTGTCATTATGGAAAAACCTATACAATTTAGATAGGGTCTGTGTATGTGTTGGTATGTCAATGTTAAGAGATGATTATTGGTCCACAGGAGCTGTGTGTGATCCGGTTCCACCCAGCGACAGAGGAGGAGGAGGTGGCCTACGTGTCTCTGTTCTCCTACTTCAGCAGCAGACGGCGCTTCGGGGTGGTGGCCAACAAAAGCCGCAGCATCAAGGATATCTACCTCATCCCAGTCAGCGCAAAGGAGTCCTTTCCATCCAAACTCCAACCCTTCGAGGGATCAGGTAAGAAAATGCAGTCATTTAGGCCAACATGTAGAAGGCTACACATATTGCATACTGAATTTTGCACACATAAGCATTATTTAAGAAAACATTCTAAACTAATCTCCCTACACCCTCTTTATCTAACAGGCCTTGAGAAAAATCGCCCCAATCTTCTTCTGGGACTGGTTATTTGCCAGAAACCCAAACGTGTGGGAAGCGTGCCACAAGAGGTTGAAGAGAAGAGACCCAAGATCCACATGTCCAAAGAACCCAGAAATACTAGCCTCCCTAGACCCCCTACACTGTATGGGTCTGACCCTAGAATGGAGGAATTCCTGCCCTACAACCCAGAGATGCCCATTATGTCCACCCCTCCTGGTTCCCCTCCTTCCACTGGATCCCTGTCACACTCCTCCTCCTCTGGCTCACTGACTATCCCATCACTCCCGTCCTCCATTAGAGCTGCTCCGCCTGCTTCTGCCCCTCCCCCCACCACTAGCTCCTCCGCTGCACCTAGCAGCACCGCCACCACTCCCCTGCAGACCATCCTGAAGTCACTGTTTGGGAAGGACTCTCCTGCAGTCCCAGCAGTTGCAGAAGTGCCCCCTCCATCCACTCTGCCCCCTCCCCCAATGGTGGATCCAATAGTCCAGCAGTACGGGAAGAAATCCAAAGTCAAAGAGATTGAGGAGGAGGAAAATGAATATGATCGACCATACGACCCAGAGGAAGCGTATGATCCAGCAATGGGCTATGGATTGGTTGCCCCAATTAGTACGGTTAAAATGTTTGCGGCGAAAGCTGCCGCTCAGGCCATGTGTGCTGAGGATGATGACGTGGCATATGACCCTGAAGATGAGACTATCTTTGAGGATATGCACAATGATGGGGTCAGTGTAGCGAAAGCCCCAGTCCCAGCTCCAACTTCAGCCCCAGCTCCAGCTCCTACCCCAGTACAAGCCCCAGTCCCAGCTCCCACTCCAGCCCCTCTGAGCCTCCCCATTACTGGTGATGTAATTGTCTCAGCCGCTACTCTGACTGAACAACAGCGAATGCTTGAGGAGCTCAACAGGCAGATCGAGGAGCAGAAACGGCAGTTGAAGGAGCAGGAGTGGGCACTGCATCAGCAGAGAGAGGCAGTGGGCATGTTCATGGCCCACTTCTCTGTTTCCGATGCCTTGATGTCTCCCCCTCCTAAATCTGGGCTGTCTCAATTCCAAAAACAGCAGACTGAAGGAGAGCAGTCTGAGGCAAATCCTTCAGTGAATCAAAAAGCTTTAAAAGGTATCTTGAAAACAGAAGTACCAATAAAACTAGAGATTAAGAGCGAGACCAAGACTGTACCTCTTTCTGAGTCAAGTAATTTGGAAATGCCCAATGCATCACCGAACCGGGTAAATATTCAGGCAACAGACAATTCAGATCCTGAAGCTGGTGAGATTCAGGACTCTGATGTAGCTTACGACCCAGAGGATGACACTATCTTTGATGAACTGCAAGACACGAATGGAGAAGAGAAGGCGAAAACCTCAACTCGATCACATTCAGTAAGGCGTTCTGAGCGCTCTCGTGATTCCTCAGTGTCTAGCTCGTGTCGTGGCACATCGCGCAATGACACCCCTGATAGGAGGCGTAAGCATAGCAGCCAACCAGATACTCACTCACCGAAAAGACGGGACCGTAAAGTCAAGGACCGCCACGAAAGCCCTCCTCGTAGATCTGGCAGGCGGTCCCCTGGACGCTCTGATAGACGAAGGGACAGACACAGACGGGGTGAGAGGAGCCAACCATATCACAGATATTGTGACCACTCTGAGCGCCCAGGCCGCCATCTCCCTCATAAAGAGCGCACATCTCGACGCAGCTCTGGTAGCCATAGAAGATCCCCATCTACACCAAGACAAAAACTAGATTCTGCCTCTAGGGGAGTCTCAAAGGGTCAAAGGGAGTCTTTTCCTCCACTAGTGTCAGAAGACTCCAAGGGTCCAGAGGCTCCTGAAGACATGGTTCCTACGAGGCCAACTCCAGCACTGGTCATGGAGGCTAATGACTCACCTCAGCCCCCTCTTGATAGAAAGGACATTAATGAATCACTGTGTGAGTCTGGAAGTCCACCACAGGGAGAGATTGAGTACACAGGCCATCAAATGCCCCATGGAAATCCCACTCCCCAGCAACCTGGGGATCAACAACCTCCTCAAAGCTTGCTGGGATCACCACCAAGAGGCCTCAACAACCAGCAAGTACTCAATTTACAGCGTCAAGACAATAGGGATAGGCCCTCTCAACAGGAAATAATAGAGCAACGCATTGTACAGAGCCCATCAGACATTATGAGAGAGAAACAGTTTTCCTCACAAGGTCCTCCCCACAAGGCGTCTCCAAACCAAGGACCAGATATGATAGGACCAGGGCAAGACATGAGGGGTGAAAGGAGAGGGCTGCAAATGAGGCATCCAGGTCCAAATATCAGAGGTACCAGAACCAGACATGAAAAGTCCCGATATGACAACTAACTTTGCAGGACAGAGATCACCATCGCCCCATTTCAACAGTCCAAGGATGTCCTCATCCGTTCCAAGAGGACATTTTGAGGATCAAAGGGGAGCACATCGTCCTGGTTTCCATGGCTCCAGGGGTCCCCGTCCCTCAAGGTTTAACCGGCCCAGAGGCTCATTTCCAGGGCATTTCCCAGACAAAGGGGAGCCACCACAGTCCTGGTTTGATGGTCCACATCAGCCAGTAGTAAGACCTCAAGGGCTGCTAGGAACAACAAGAGACACCAACAACCAGCATCATGACAATGAAGGTGGGCCTGTTCAACCAGAAATAAAGGAGCAACACATTGTACAGAGTCCATCAGACATGATGAGAGATAAACATTTTTCCTCACAAGGTCCCCCCCACATGACCTCTACAAACAACCAGGGTGATAGGTCCAGCAGTTTAGAGAGGAGAGATCCCAATAGGAGGGAGGGAAGAAGAGACCAAGGCCCAGACATCAGAGGTCCAGATATGATGGGACCAGGGCCAGACATGTGGGATGATAGGAGAGGGTCAGACATGTGGGATGATAGGAGAGGGTCAGACATGTGGGATGATAGGAGAGGGTCAGACATGTGGGATGATAGAAGAGGTCCAGGGCCAGACATGCAGGGCGATGGGAGAGGGTCAGACATCTTGGATGATAGAAGAGGTCCAGAGCCAGACATGAGAGGCCCAGAGACTGACATGTGGTGTGATATGAGAGGTCCAGGGCCAGACATGAGAGGGCCAGATATGAGAAAAGAATGGAGACACCCAGATATGAGGGATCCAGGACACAACATTAGGAATCCAAACATGTGTAGTTCAGGCCCAGACATGAGAGATCCAGAAATGCCAGGCCCAGATCCAGACCTGAGAAGTCCAGACATGAAAGGGGACCACTTCACACCAACAGCTAACTTTGAAGGACATAGGCCACCATTGCCTTATTTCAACAGTCCAAGGATGTCCTCATCTGTTCAAAGAGGACATTTTGAGAATCAAAGGGGAGCACATCGTCCTGGTTTCCATGGCCCCAGGGGTCCTCGTCCCTCGAGGTTCAACCAGCCCAGAGGGTTACCTCCAGGGCATTTTGCAGACAACGGGGGGCAGCCACAGTTCCGTTTTGAGTGTCCACAGCCAGCGGTAACACCTGCTCCTGCCTCGCTGGTAACATCAAGGGAGCACAGTATACAGAGCCCTTCGGACATTCTGAAAGAAAGCCAGGTACCCTCACAAGGTCCTCCCCACAGGGCCTCTCCAAACAACCAGGGTGAGCAGTCCAGCAGTTTAGAGAGGAGAGATCCTGATATTAGGGAGGGAAGGAGAAAGCCAGGGCCAGACATCAGAGGTCCAGATATGATGGGACCAGGGCCAGACAGGAGAGGTGATAGGAGAGGGTCAGACAGGAGAGGTGATAGGAGAGGGCCAGACAGGAGAGGTCCCGGTCCAGACATGAGAGATCCAGAACCAGACACAAGGGGTGATAGGAGAGGGTCAGGCCCAGACACAAGTGGTCCAGGACCAGACATGAGTGTTCCAGGGCCAGACATGAGAGGTGATAGGAGAGGGACAGACATGAGAGGTCCAGGGCCGAACACAAGGGGTGATAGGAGAGGTCCAGGGCCAGACATGTGGGATGAGAGGAGAGGGCCAAACATGAGTGGTCCAGGGCCAAACATGAGGGGTCCAGGGCCAGACATGCGAGGTCCAAGGCCAGACATGAGGGGTGATGGGAGAGGGCCAGTGATGTTTGATGAGAGAAGAGGTCCAGGGCCAGACATGAGAAGTGATAGGAGAGGTCCAGATATGATGGGTCCAGATCCAGACATTAGTGGTCCAGGGTCAGACATGAGAGGTCCAGATATGAGAAATGAACGGAGACACCCAGATATGAGGGATCCAGGACCCGACATGAGAGATCCAGAAATGCTAGGCCCAGATCCAGACCTGAGAAGTCTAGACATGAGAGGGGACCACTTCACACCAACAGCTAACTTTGAAGGACAAAGGCCACCATCGCCTTATTTCAACAGTCCAAGGATGTCCTCATCTGTTCAAAGAGGACATTTTGAAGATCAAAGGGGAGCACATCGTCCTGGTTTCCATGGCCCCAGGGGTCCTCGTCCCTCAAGGTTCTACCAGCCCAGAGGGTTACCTCCAGGGCATTTCACAGACAACGGGGGGCAGCCACAGTTCCGTTTTGAGTGTCCACAGCCAGCGGTAACACCTGCTCCTGCCTCGCTGGTAACATCAAGGGAGCACAGTATACAGAGCCCTTCGGACATTCTGAAAGAAAGTCAGGTACCCTCACAAGGTCCTCCCCACAGGGCCTCTCCAAACAACCAGGGTGAGCAGTCCAGCAGTTTAGAGAGGAGAGATCCTGATATTAGGGAGGGAAGGAGAAAGCCAGGGCCAGACATCAGAGGTCCAGATATGATGGGACCAGGGCCAGACACTAGGGGTAATAGGAGAGGGCCAGACATGAGAGGTGATAGGAGCGGGCTGGACAGGAGGGGTCCCAGTCCAGACATGAAAGATCCAAAACCAGACACAAGGGGTGATAGGAGAGGGCCAGGACCAGACATTAATGTTCCAGGGCCAGACATAAGGGGTGACCGGAGAGGGCCAGACATGAGAAGTCCAGGGCCAGACACAAGAGGTCCAAGGCCTCATGTGGGATGAGAGGAGAGGGCCAGACATGAGGGGTCCAGGGCCAGACAGGAGAGGTCCAGGGCCAGACAGAAGAGGTCCAGGGCCAGACAGGAGGGTCCATGGCCAGACATAAGGGGTGATAGGAGAGGGCCGAACAGGAGAGGTCCCAGTCCAGACATGAAAGACCCAGAACCAGACACAAGGGGTGATAGGAGAGGGCCAGGCCCAGACATGAGAGGTCCAGGACCAGACATGAATGTTCCAGGGCCAGACATGAGAAGTCCAGGGGCAGACACAAGGGGTGATAGAAGAGGCCACTGAGGGTCCGGCCACATGAGAGTCCAGGGCCAACATGAGGGTCAGGAGGGCCAGACATGAGAGGGCCAGGCCAGACAATGAGGAGGCCAGGGCCAGACATGAGAGGTCCAGGGACCAGACATGAGGGGTCCAGGACCAGACATGAGAGGTCCAGGGCCAGACATGAGGGTCCAGGGCCAGACATGAGGGTCCAGGGCCAGACATGAGAGGTCCAGGGCCAGACATGAGAGGTCCAGGGCCAGACATGAGAGGTCCAGGGCCAGACATGAGAGGTCCAGGGCCAGACATGAGAGGTCCAGGGCCAGACATTTTACATTTACATTTTAGTAATTTAGCAGACGTTCTTATCCAGAGCATCTTACAGTTAGACATGAGGGGTTCAGGCCCAGACAGGGGTCCAGAAATGCCAGGCCCAGGTCCAGACATGAGAATTCCAGCTATAAGAGGAGACCACTTCACAACAACAAACAATTTTGGAGGACCGAGGGGAGTACATAGTCCTGGTTTCCATGGCCCCAGGGCTCCTTGTCCCTCGAGGTTCAACCAGCCCAGAGGCTCATCTCCAGGGCATTTCACAGACAACAAGGGGTTTGACGGTCCACAGCCAGTGGTAAGACCGTTGAGGCATAAAGGAGGTTTACTCCCCACTCCCCCGGAGGGTCTCATTAATTTGCTGAACAACAGCCCGGAAGCTTTTAGAGAAGAGCAGTGGCGGAATAGTCACTTAACTGATACGAGGAGAACAAGCCTACCCAGAGAGGACTGTGAAATTAGAAACTATAGAGACAGAGAAAGCCACTCTGAGGAGCGTGGCCGTGCTAGAGACAGGGGGAACTTTCAGCTCTCAGCGCCCCGCTTGTCCCAGGAGCGGCAGTTGCCTGAGGACAACAGGAGAGAGTGGGGTGGCAGTCATGGAAGGCAGAGGGGCAGGGGGACAGGTAGGCCTATGAGCAGGGAGAGCGGAAGGGTTAGAGGGAGGGAAGCAGACAGATCCAGAGAGGAGGTGGGTGAAAAGCAAAAGACACCCACGGAAAACGACAAAGACATTGGGAGAGCCACAAGCATGGAAGGAGATGCAAACAGAGTTATCCCTAGTCTGCACAAACGTTCACTTTCAAAAGACAGTGACAGAAACAGTTTAAAGGATGGAAGTGGAAAGAAAGAAGAAGAAATGGGGGGAAATGGTAACAAGGTTGAATCAACAGACGCCCTCCAGACAGATACCCCCCAGGAGAGCAAAGGGCCTGCTTGACTGGAGACTACAGTTAACAGAATGCATGGATTTAGACTGTTTTTTAAATCTGTTGAGACATTTTCAGCACTACACACATTGAATATATCCTGTGAATACAGTAAGAAAATCTGTGGTAGGAAAAGTGATTGTGCAGTATTTATGGAAAACTATGGAAAAGATCTGACAGGTATTGTCGTCTTATTGTAACTAAACGTCTGAAACTTGTTAGTGCTATTATTTCACAAATCCTCTACTAAGTTTGAAGTTGGTTAATAATGTGCTACGTAGTCATTTTCACTACATACAACACCCAGAATTTTTTGAATGTCATGACTGATCGTACCTTGTTTCATTCATCTTTTTTGTAAAATTCAGATTACTTGCTTTGCTGAGTTTCTAGATTAAAATTAATGTCAAATCAAACGTAGATATGTACATTGTGTTTCTAGATTATTATTTTTTCTAAGTAGGCCTACAAACCTATTCAACCATACTGCTGTCATCTGTTCACTGATTAGAAAGACTTCATTTTGGTTAATCTCATGATTATATGTTTTAGAATAAATGAAAACTTGATTTATTTCTTTTTTATTATGTTTTAATTTGTTGAACGCAGGCCAATAAAAACTGTTAAGGAATGATCCTACTTGCATTTCATTTGAACCACAATCAATTGAGAAAAAATAAGAAACCCGCACACTGCTCTTGCTAGTATCACTGCTCTTTATTAAGCTTTATGAATCGGCCTCAGAGCTCTGACGAAGGCCTTGAGGCCGATACATAGCTTAATAAAGAGCAGTGATACTAGCAAGAGCAGTGTGCTGGTTTCTTATTTTTTCTCATCTTATTCAACTGTTACCATGCACCTGCAACAAAGATAGCTCAGATGTGCCTTTTGAATTTTGAACCACAATCAATGATCAAGTTTGTCTGATAAAATTGTTGCCTAATACTTTAATGAATTGCATACGTTTGAGTTTTGCTTGTAATGTACATTTGTTGAATTTAAGAAGTATTGTGTAGCCTATGCATAATCAAAAGGTCATGCCATATTATTTTTGGTCAAGCATTGGGGCATTATTAACCTAAACATTTACGTCATTTAGCAGACGCTCTTATCCAGAGCGACTTACAGGAGCAACTAGGGTTAAGTGCCTTGCTTAAGGGCACATCGACAGATTTTTCACCTAGTCGGCTCGGGATTAGAACCAGCGACCTTTCGGTTACTGGCACAACGCTCTTACCCACTACGCTACCTGCCGCCCTAAACTTAACCCATAGTCAAAGCACTTTCTCAGTTATGAGTTATCCACTCAGCCCTGTACTGTAGTTCAATACCAACTCTTGCTCCTCTGGTTGTTGCTTTGGGGGCCTTTGCGCCCCATTTAGAATTGCACAAGGGGGAAAAACTGGCTCACAATAGGGTCGTTACATATGTTTGAAAAAAAAACATTTTATTTGAACTAAACTTTCCAGAAATGTTTGCCCATGGTAGATGCGGTCAGAAAGTGATTTTTCTGGACCTGACATTTGCCAAAACATTCAGGAGATGGTGCTCCATTTTGCATACCCCACCCTACCATGAGACATCCATGTCTTTCATCACTGAAAAAGATGAACAGTTGAGTTTGATATAATTTGAAAGCTTACAATCAGGGTTATCAAAGTGTTTTATAAGACACGGCATACTCTTGAATACAGGGTGGGTGTCATATTTCTGATTATAATAAATGTGAATAAAATTGAAATTCCAATTTTCATATGGCACCTCAAAGATGGTTGGAAGTCCACATATCAGAGAATGTTACCTTGAGTGGGAATATCCATTGTTTTAAATTATACTGTCAATCTTCCATAGGAAACTTATTGAAATCATAGAAATATAGATAATACAATATACATTCCCATTCAAGTTGACATTGGGTGGAATGGTGGCCTTTCTGGTAGTAATTGGAAGTAAATGTTTCAATTCAATTTAAATGTCAATTGTCTACCAGTTAAATTGCAGTGGTCTGAAGGGATCGGTCAATTCTATGAACTATATTTCTATGATTGAAAAATGACACCCACCCTACTATATTCAAGGGAATGCTGTGACGGCACAACACAAACACTTCAGATGATGTAAAGTAGGGTCTAAACTACAACGTAAAAATGTGTTAACGTGTTTTTAGGTAATGTACTTTATTTTCTTTTTGTACCTTGATGCGCAACGCTCCCCACCTCTGCTTCATCAACAAAACAAAAACAACAACGGCTGTGGTACTGACAGGGGCTCTTTCTCCTACTGTGGAGTCCATCTTTAAAGAAATGATCAAATAGTTTGACAACCCAGTTTGATGGCTTTCAAATTATATCAAACTCAACCGTTTATCAGTGATGAAGACATGGAAGTCTCATGCTAGGGTGTAGTATGCAAAATGTGTCAACTTTGAGCACCTCTATATCCTTAATGTTTTGGCAGATTCGGGTTCAAAAAGTCCCACTGGGCACACACTGGTTGAATCAACGTTGTTTCCACGTCATTTCAATGAAATGATGTTGAATCAACATGAAATAGACTTTGAATTGACGTCTGTGCCCAGTGACGTCACTTTCTGCCCACTTATACCATGGGCAAACATGTATGGAACGTTTAATTAAAATCAAAAGGTGTGCAGTCAGAAAGTGATTGAATTCATAGAGAATGGCCCAATGAACTGGGTTACTCTACTTGCACAATCTTATTAAAAATAACCATAACTACGGTAGATCTGGGGGGCTCTGAAGTAGCAGAATTCATGAGTAAAAAAAAACACCTTTATAATAAAGCATTGCATGCATTGTCATGGCTTTTGCGTAATGGCATAGAGCAGTAGAGTGGAGGGGCTTGCAGAAGTTGCACACATGCAACACAATCTTTGGGATACTGGTGCACTTGTAGTAAGAAAGGCCATTTTTTCGTATAGGCAACAGTACACGATTTTCTTCATAACGCATTTCATATTTCGTGGTGCCTAAATTACACAATTGTCTTCATAATGCATTTAATGCATGTTAAACAGGTTAATGTAAAATAAAGGCCTTTCCATTATGATTATTACGGTCATGTCAATCATGTTATAGACGTAGGCTATTGTTACGCGTTCAACTGGTTAGCAAATCAGAAATGTCTGTTTCCTATTACCGACTAGCACTTGATCCTGAATTATGCTGGCTTCACATTCTCGTGGAAAGTGGAAGTTGTAACTCCAACATGATTGTGTTGAAGTACTTTTGAAGTCGGAACAATTCTTAAACCAATAAGATTGGCAACAGCATTTTCTCATTTTCCCACTCGTAATTCCTACTTGGAGGGTCATTCAAGTGAAATTTCCCAGTCGGAACTAGGAATTTCCAATAGTACCTGAACGCGGCATTAGTATGTGTGATCAACAACAGTAGGGTCTGGGTCGCCGAGTGTCCAGCCCCCATACCCATTTTCGACCACTGCGGAGTGAGTGTCAGTAGCCTACTATGTGTCCGTGCTATGTGCAGTCAACTAGTATAATTATTGTTTGTGAAGTAAGTATAGTGATTATTATTAAGGTTCTGGTCGTCTGAGATTAGACAAGTAGGCTATACAATAAACAATATAACTATATAACTAAGAAACAAAAGTAAATAAAGTAATAATGAAATAAATGCAAAAAATACAACATATTACATTAACAAATGTTTGTTTTCTTTGAGACTCAGTCATGTCTACACAATCATATTTTTCAAGGAGCAGTTCCAATGTTTAGCCTACATAGCCAACATCTTGTCTGTGATTTTTCCATTAAATACATTTCTTTCAATCTACCACTCCACTCTTCCGTAGTATGAATGTCCTCATTTAACCAATGCTCTTTAATACATTTATTTGCTACAGACGAGGTTATTCAATAGGTAGACATTTTGAAACCGTTCAGGGATTACTCCAAGTAATGGCACTCTGGGTTCTTTGCCAGGGAACATTTAAATACATGATCAATGGCAATACTGTTTTCTATGCTTGGGTATTGTTGCGTTCATTGCAGTCAGAAAACAAATGTTGGCTGATCAAAACCCTTGCGGGTAATGTTGATTTCTCTCCCCAAGTCGTACCAGAAAATAACGGAAAACTGACCCAAGATATGTACTGTACATAGGCAACTTCAACCCAACGTAATGCGGAGCGCGTTCCAGCTAACATCTACACACCTGATTCAACTAGTTGGGGTGGTTAATTACTTTAATCCACTTGTGTCAAACTCCTACCACGGGAGGTCCGAGTGTCTGCAGGTTTTTGCTCCACTTATGACTGATAAATTAAGGTCACGAATGACTAAGGAACTCCCCTCACCTGGTTAGGTTGTCTAGGTGTTAACTGAAAGGAAAAACCAAAAACCCGCAGACACTCGGCCCTCTGTGGAATGAGTTTGACACCCCTGCTAAATTTAGTCTGTTACTGTTAGCCTACTGTTACTGCTTATTTAGAACAAAATCCTGCACCTACTGTATTTGAATTATATTTTTGCACAAAATAACTTACATTGAATTATATTTATCTCAAAGCTGACATTTTCTGTACTCCCCCTGGTAGGCCTAATGGAGCTAGTTCAACTTGTCTTTGCAAAGCCTTTCTAAAGACAGTTTTAGATCTTGTGGAGTAAACAATGGATGAATAGGAACAACAAGACAGCAATGCTCCCATCCACAGTGAATGTGTATCCATCCAATGCTCCCATCCACAGTGAATGTGTATCCATCCAATGCTCCCATCCACAGTGAATGTGTATCCATCCAATGCTCCCATCCACAGTGAATGTGTATCCATCCAATGCTCCCATCCACAGTGAATGTGTATCCATCCAATGCTCCCATCCACAGTGAATGTGTATCCATCCAATGCTCCCATCCACAGTGAATGTGTATCCATCCAATGCTCCCATCCACAGTGAATGTGTATCCATCCAATGCTCCCATCCACAGTGAATGTGTATCCATCCAACGCTCCCATCCACAGTGAATGTTGTATCCATCCAATGCTCCCATCCAAAGTGAATGTGTATCCATCCAATGACTCCCATCCACAGGTGAATGTGTATCCATCCAATGCTCCCATCCACAGTGAATGTGTATCCATCCAATGCTCCCATCCACAGTGAATGTGTATCCATCCAATGCTCCCATCCACAGTGAATGGTATCCATCCAATGCTCCCATCCACAGTGAATGTGTATCCATCCAATGCTCCCATCCACAGTGAATGTGTATCCATCCAATGCTCCCATCCACAATGAATGTGTATCCATCCAATGGTCATCTTGTTATCCATCATTCACATTCTTTACATTTTTGTACACCACCTGTAGTTTTTGTGATGTAATCTACTTACAAATTAAGTACATCTTAATGCCCAGTTAAAAATGTTTATTAAAATAAGTATCATACCTATACAGCAGTGAAATACAATTCTAAACTTGTTCTGTTTACTTTGCAGCTCCAAATAAAGACGCTTCACACCTACCACCCTTCTATTCAGACCACTGAGACCTACGGCTGACACCTTTAGTCTCTCTCTTTAGCTCTCTCTCTTTCTATCCATCCTCTTGATACAGATCTCTTGATCCATCCTCTGGCTGCATTTTAAGTAAGTGGAGACTTTTTCTCTTTTAATTCAGATTTCTTCCCATTTCTTGTGGAGATTATCCAAAAAGTGTAGCTTAAAATAAGTAACCAAATCCCACTGGCCCCGGTACTGTTTCATCTGTCAACTAACAACGCTCATTGCACTATGCACCTGAGGTTATGGCAGGTAGCCTATATCTAGGCTACAAAAGTAGCCAACAGTTAGAATGACACATTTTTATGTTACAGTGTGGCATGTGGGGTAATGTTAAATACTCAGGCTTAGTTTTAGTACCAGGCGAGGTCCATTATCAGATCTGACCTCATTGAGTCATTGAAACCCATGTCACCTTCAAACACACACATCACTTCTTTATTGGGTTTGAGAAGGGTTAGAAGGCTTGACGTTAGCTCCTTAGTTGGCCAAACTCTATTAATTGCTATTGTTAGAGTAGTTTTTATCTCACAATCTCTACTTCTCCTTGTCAATTCAAGCCCCATGCCAGAGTGGACCTCCCTGGTGCATTCAATCATCAAGGTTATGTGTATAGGGCTATTCTTTCGGACACTTTTGTATCCACCTTTCATGCAGAATGGCTCCTGGCTCCAGCCGTAAGCTGTGTCCTAGTTTTAAAACATCAATAGGAGTATCATCACAGAAGGGCAAGTTCTGTGGTGCAAAAATACAGCTAAAGGTAAAGTTAGAGGCACGAAAAATGAAGGCAACAGATGAATGGGCAAATAAAACAATGAAACATGGAATATATGCAACCTTGGTTAATGCAGCAAACAAGCTGGTAAGCTTTATTATGTTTTCCTCTAAAAAGGATTTCTGCATTTCTAGCGTAGAGAAATGATAGGCCCTATGCGCTTATTTGTTGTTGTCTCATTGTGTAATTTAAGACTGTAAATCTAAATGCCATTATTTGACTGATATTTGTTGTGTTTCTGGAAGTTGTTTTGTCATTAATGATTCCAGGTACATAGGGTTCACAAGGTAGGAGTGTACCCCCTGCTACTCCTCAGCAAGAGGAAGAAGGATATCATTTTGTCGTCAACTGCACTGTCCTCACGGTGGTATGATGAATCAGACCTCAAAGGCAGCAATCCAAAGGTTGTATGAGGCAATTGTGAAAGGTATTTGGGCAGAAATATGTATGTTTGTCTACCTTAAGTGTCACGATCGTTTACGAACGAGAAGGACCAAGGCGCAGCGTGATATGCATTCATGTTTATTAACGACTAAACACACGACAAAACAACAAATGAAACGTGAAGTCCAAGGTAGCATACAAACAACATACCTTACACGGAACAAGATCCCACAACTAACTGGTGCCAACAGGCTGCCTAAGTATGGTCCCCAATCAGAGACAACGAGCAACAGCTGCCTCTGATTGGGAACCACACAGGCCAACATAGATCTACACATTCTAGATCTTAAACATAGAACATCGACATAGCAAACACAACACAGAAAATACACACCCTGACTCAACAAATACAAGTCCTCAGAGTCAGGGCGTGACATTAAGACCCTATCCTTCAACCACCACATCCATCAGATTGTAAAAAAACAATTATTCCACTTACACAAATTCACCAATGTCAGCCCCTCCCTCTCCTGTCCTGCCGGCCGAAACTCTCATCCATGCTTTCATCTTCTCCCGAATAGACTATTGAAACTCACTACTCCCCGGCATCAACACAAGCTCCCTCGATAAGCTCCAAATGGTTCAAAACATATCACCCCCATCCTCTGTGAACTCCACTGGCTCCCTGTCTTCCACCGCATTAATTACAAGATCCTCCTGACCTAAAAAGTTCTCCCCACCTTGCTACCCCTTCCCTCTCTGACCTCCTTCTCTCCTACCAAGCCTCATGCTCTCTCCGCTCAACCACAGTTGGCCACCTTGTCATCCCCAGGTCCAAGCTCCAGAGCTTCGGTGACAGGGCGTTCTCCAGGGTTGCTCCTAGGCTCTGGAACTCCCTCCCTCCAGCCATCCGTGACTCTGAGTCCATCATCATCTTTCAGTCCCGCCTAAAAACCCACCTCTTCACCATGGCCTACCCTTACCTCCCCCCTCCACCATTCTCACACGCACCTCTTCTGTTTCATACACTCGCGCACACACTCACACATACAGTGGGGGAAAAAAGTATTTAGTCAGCCACCAATTGTGCAAGTTCTCCCACTTAAAAAGATGAGAGAGGCCTGTAATTTTCATCATAGGTACACGTCAACTATGACAGACAAATTGAGGGAAAAAAATCCAGAAAATCACATTGTAGGATTTTTTATGAATTTATTTGCAAATTATGGTGGAAAATAAGTATTTGGTCACCTACAAACAAGCAAGATTTCTGGCTCTCACAGACCTGTAACTTCTTCTTTAAGAGGCTCCTCTGTCCTCCACTCGTTACCTGTATTAATGGCACATGTTTGAACTTGTTATCAGTATAAAAGACACCTGTCCACAACCTCAAACAGTCACACTCCAAACTCCACTATGGCCAAGACCAAAGAGCTGTCAAAGGACACCAGAAACAAAATTGTAGACCTGCACCAGGCTGGGAAGACTGAATCTGCAATAGGTAAGCAGCTTGGTTTGAAGAAATCAACTGTGGGAGCAATTATTAGGAAATGGAAGACATACAAGACCACTGATAATCTCCCTCGATCTGGGGCTCCACGCAAGATCTCACCCCGTGGGGTCAAAATGATCACAAGAACGGTGAGCAAAAATCCCAGAAGCACATGGGGGGACCTAGTGAATGACCTGCAGAGAGCTGGGACCAAAGTAACAAAGCCTACCATCAGTAACACACTACGCCGCCAGGGACTCAAATCCTGCAGTGCTAGACGTGTCCCCCTGCTTAAGCCAGTACATGTCCAGGCCCGTCTGAAGTTTGCTAGAGTGCATTTGGATGATCCAGAAGAGGATTGGGGGAATGTCATATGGTCAGATTAAACCAAAATATAACTTTTTGGTAAAAACTCAACTTGTCGTGTTTGGAGGACAAAGAATGCTGAGTTGCATCCAAAGAACACCATACCTACTGTGAAGCATGGGGGTGGAAACATCATGCTTTGGGGCTGTTTTTCTGCAAAGGGACCAGGACGACTGATCCATGTAAAGGAAAGAATGAATGGGGCCATGTATCGTGAGATTTTGAGTGAAAACCTCCTTCCATCAGCAAGGGCATTGAAGATGAAACGTGGCTGGGTCTTTCAGCATGACAATGATCCCAAACACACCGCCCTGGCAACGAAGGAGTGGCTTCGTAAGAAGCATTTCAAGGTCCTGGAGTGGCCTAGCCAGTCTCCAGATCTCAACCCCATAGAAAATCTTTGGAGGGAGTTGAAAGTCTGTGTTGCCCAGCGACAGCCCCAAAACATCACTGCTCTAGAGGAGATCTGCATGGAGGAATGGGCCAAAATACCAGCAACAGTGTGTGAAAACCTTGTGAAGACTTACAGAAAACGTTTGACCTGTGTCATTGCCAACAAAGGGTATATAACAAAGTATTGAGAAACTTTTGTTATTGACCAAATACTTATTTTCCACCATAATTTGCAAATAAATTCATTAAAAATCCTACAATGTGATTTTCTGGATTTTTTCTCTCTCATTTTGTCTGTCATAGTTGACGTGTACCTATGGTGAAAATTACAGGCCTCTCTCATCTTTTTAAGTGGGAGAACTTGCACAATTGGTGGCTGACTAAATACTTTTTTCCCCCACTGTACGCGCAACACCTGCTCGCTTACTCACCTGTTCGCTCACTCACATACTCACACGTCACACCCTTTCCTTGAGCCCTACGTACCTCTATTTAGCCATGTTTATACCTGGTTCTAACATGCATTATATGTCCTGATCTTGTCCATAGTCTGATTGTGCCCACATTTTCAGACAGGTGTAGACGATTAAAATAAACATTGTGATCTTCCTGACCACGTCTGGAGGTGACAGTGAAACCATTTAATTCATCCTGCCTTCTAAAATCATTGACAGGTGGCACCATTGACTTATGGAATATATATGAGTCTTAAAAAAAATATATATATATTATTTTGAAATAATATCTGTCAAAGCATTAGCATACAAGGCGGGACCAGGAAATCTGTTCACAATGCAGACACAGTGGACGGATAAGACCATGTGTAGACGCAATTTAAAAAATGTGGTCATAATCAGAATGTGGACAAGATCGGGACAAAGGACGCATGTTAGCACCAGGTATAAACAAGTCTTTTGTTTCATGTTTTTCTTCCTTTTGTTTAGTCTGGTGTTTAGTTAGATTGTTGATTGTTTGTTAGTTTCTACAACTGTGAAGCTATGTATGTTTAATGCGTTATTATTAAAGTAGAGGACTTAGTTCAGGGAAGCAACATTTCAACACATTCTTTTCACATATCCTGTGAAGAAAGCACATATACAGGGCTGTCTGAAGTTTATTTATAAACTGGGTGGTTCCAGCCCTAAATGCTGATCATCTGAAAGCCTTGACTACATGCAAGACCGTATACCATGGGTATGACAAAACATTTATTTTTACTGCTCTAATTACGTTGGTAACCAGTTTATAATAGCAATAAGGCACCTCAGGGGTTTGTGATATATGGCCAATATACCACGGCTAAGGGCTGTGTCCAGGCACTCCGCATTGTGTTATGCATAAGAACAGCCTTTAGCCGTGGTATATTGGCCATGTACACTGGTATATTGGCCACATACCACACCTCCTCAGGCCTTATTGCTTAAATATACATGCTCACCTCTGCCATTTGGAAACTGTTGTCCACTTGTCTGTCCCATTTCCTTAATATGTTCTATTTCGCAGTGGCAATCAACACCCATGACCCCACACTACAACCCTCCAACCCTCCTCCTGTTGCTGCCCAAGAACTGTCTGATACAGTTGCCCCCCAGGAGACCAGCTACACCCCCATCCTCAACCAGGTTGAACCCCCGATATCCCCCACCACCCAGGAGACCAGCTATACCCGGATCCCCAACCAGGTTGAACCCCCGATATCCCCCACCACCCAGGAGACCAGCTACACCCGGATCCCCAACCAGGTTGAACCCCCGATATCCCCCACTGCCCAGGAGACCAGCTACACCCAAACCAAACCAAAGAAGACGGGGAGAAAGTCCTGTAGTCCTGTCACCCTCAAAAAACCCTCCAATCCGCTGAGCATGACACATTTAACCCCATCCAACCCCGACCAAGGAAGAGGAAATATGACTACATGCAAAAAGGTAAATCAGTATCTAACTTATAACTTCAATAATGTTTTTAATAAATTATTTCCAGTGATTGATGGTCCCCTACTTTTCAGGAAGCAGGCATACTGTACACTCTTTGAAAAAAGTGTTCCAAAAGGGTTCTTCAGCTGTCCCCATTGGAGAACCCTTTTTGGTTCCAGGTAGAACTCTATTGGGTTCTACATGGAACCAAAAGGGTTCTCCTATGTGGACAGCCAAATAACCATTTCTAAGGCATAGATGTAAAAATGTATAATGCAAATGACTGGCACGCTAACTTTATTAATGTTCTGATGGGTGGTGATTTAAATAAATGTATTTATTGTTTCAGTGTCCAGTGCATCCTGGGCAAACTATATTCTCGAAATTCTTGCCTTCAAAGGAGGTAAATAATCTGCAGTACATTGAAATATAATATAATATGCCATTTAGCAGAAATTGACTGTATTTACAGGCTAATCCTAGTGCAACACCAAGTGTAGTTAACTTGCAGTGCATAGACCTTGTAGTTAAAGTGGCAATATGTAACTTTTTGGGTGACCCGACCAAATTCACATAGAAATGTGAGTTACAGATCTTTCATCCTACTTGAAAGCAAGTCTAAGAAGCAGTAGATCTGTCCTACAGTATGCGTTATTTATATGCTTCCCGTTCTTTTTTTTGAGACTTTTACTTTTGTACACCAGCTTCAAACAGCTGACATGAGCAACCATGACATGACGGAGCGATTTCTGCATAGTGCAGCTTTAAAATAAAAAAATAATTTATATTTCTTGCATAATAAAGGTTCAGGAGCAGAAAGTGAGGTGGAAGCCATGCTCTGGATGGTATGTTTACTTGAAGTAATCTCCTAGAATGAATTGAGAATATACTGTACACTCAACACCATATGTATTTGGACGGTGAAGCTAAAATATACAGTTTGACTCTAAACTCCAGCATTTTGGATTTGAGATCAAATGTTTCATATGAGGCGATAGTACAGAAGGTCACCTTTTTACAATTTAGAAATGAAAGCACTTTATGGATATAGTCCCCCCAATTTGAAAAAGCCATAAGTATTTGGACAAATTCACTTAAAGTGTATTAAAGTTATAGTACATGAAACCTTTTATTTAAAATACTACATCCCCAAACATAAGGCTTTGCATTTAGGTCAAAAAGTTTATTATTTTGCTGTTGTTTTTTTCAGTATGAACTTTAGTGCCCTGTTGCATACAAGATGCATGTTTTTTATTATTTTTATTATGTATATTTGTATTCTTCTTTTCACTGTCATTTAAGTCATTATTGTGGCGTCACTACAATGATGTTGATCCATCCTCAGTTTTTCTACCATGACAGCCTGTAACTGTTTTCAAATCACCAATGGCCTCATGGTGACATCCCTGAGCAGTTTCATTCCTGTCCTGCATCTCAGTTCAGAAGGACGACTGTATCTTTGATGTGTCTGTGTGGTTTAATAAATAATCCACACCATAATTATTAATTTGATAATGCTTAAAGAGATATGCAATGCCTGATTTGTTATTGTTACCCGTCTACCAATCACGCCCTTCTTTATGAGGCTTTCGAAAAGCTCCCTGGTCTTTGTAGTTGAATCTGTGCTTGAAATTCAATACTTGACTGAGGGACCTTAGATATTGTATGTATGGGGGACAGAGGTATGGATAGTCATTCAAAAATCATGTCAACCCCTATTGAGTCCATATAACATATTATGCGATTTGTTAAGCCAAATTTAACTTGTGAACTAATTTAGGCATGCCGAAACAAAGGGGCTGAATACTTATGCAACGACTATATTTTAGTTCTCAAATCTTTTATTAATCTTTATAAAAAATCAAAATGTTCTTCCACTTTGATAGTAAAGTACACCATTTTGAGTTGATTGTTGACAAAATCTAAATTAAATAAATTTCAATCCAACTTTGTAACACAATAAAATGTGAAGAAATCCAAGGGGTATGAATACTTTTGCAAGGCACTTTATGTATGGTCGTGGTCAAAAGTTTTGAGAATGACACAAATATTGGTCTTCACAAGGTTTGCTGCTTCAGTGTTTTTAGATATTTTTGTCAGATGTTACTATGGTATACTGAAGTATAATTACAAGCATTCCATAAGTGTCAAAGGCTTTTATTGACAATTACATTAAGTTTATGCAGAGTCAATATTTGCAGTGTTGACCCTTCTTTTTCAAGACCTGCAATCCGCCCTGGCATGCTGTCAATTAACTCCTGGGCCACATCCTGACTGATGGCAGCCCATTCTTGCATAATCAATGCTTGGAGTTTGTCCGAATTTGTGGGTTTTTGTTTGTCCACCCGCCTCTTGAGGATTGACCACAAGTTCTCAATGGGATTAAGGTCTGGGGAGTTTCCTGGCCATGGACCCAAAATGTCGATGTTTTGTTCCCCGAGCCACTTAGTTATCACTTATGGCAAGGTGCTCCATCATGCTGGAAAAGGCATTGTTCGTCACCAAACTGTTCTTGGATGGTTGGGAGAAGTTGCTCTCGGAAGATGTGTTGGTACCATTCTTTATTCATGGCTGTGTTGTGAGTGAGCCCACTCCCTTCGCTGAGAAGCAACCCCACACATGAATGGTCTCAGGATTCTTTACTGTTGGCATGACACAGGACTGATGGTAGCGCTCACCTTGTCTTCTCCGGACAAGCTTTTTTCCGGATGCCCCAAACAATCGGAAAGGGGATTCATCAGAGAAAATGACTTTACCCCAGTCCTCAGCAGTCCAATCCCTGTACCTTTTGCAGAATATCAGTCTGTCCCAGATGTTTTTCCTGGAGATAAGTGGCTTCCTCGCTGCCCTTCTTGACACCAGGCCATCCTCCAAAAGTCTTTGTCTCACTGTGCGTGCAGATGCACTCACACCTGCCTGTTGCTATTCCTGAGCAAGCTCTGCACTGGTGGTACCCCGATCCCGCAGCTGAATCAACTTTAGGAGATGGTCCTGGCGCTTGATGGACTTTCTTGGGCGCCCTGAAGCCTTCTTCACAACAATTGAACCTCTCTCCTTTAAGTTCTTGATGATCTGATAAATGGTTGATTTAGGTGCAATCTCACTAGCAGCAATATCCTTGCCTGTGAAGCCCTTTTTGTGCAAAGCAATGATGACGGCACGTGTTTCCTTGCAGGTAACCATGGTTAACAGAGGAAGAACAATGATTTCAATCACCACCTTACCTTTTAAAGCTTCCTGTCTGTTATTTTAACTCAATCAGCATGACAGAGTGATCTCCAGCCTTGTCCTCGTCAACACTCTCACCTGTGTTAACGAGAGAATCACTGACATGATGTCAGCTGGTCCTTTTGTGGCAGGCCTGAAATGCAGTGGAAATGTTTTTTGGGGATTAAGTTCATTTTCATGGCAAAGAGGGACTTTGCAATTAATTGCAATTCATCTGATCACTCTTCATAACGTTCTGCAGTATTTGCAAATTGCCATCATAAAAACTGAGGCAGCAGACTTTGTGAAAATTTATATTTGTGTCATTCTCAAAACTTTTGACCACGACTGTAGTTTAAATAATATATTTGAGAGGAGAAGGCGTTCGACCAATGTGAGACAAGGTGCATCCAAAAATCATAAAACCATTTGAAAGGAATAGGTGCAACCCTTGCTCACGATTAAATATTGAATTATTTATTTTCTATTTCTGCTTAAAAACATGACAGTCCTTTTTATGTTTTCTTTCTTGTCTTACAGTGGCAAGAAATGAGACGATGACTGGATCAAGGCCGAGGACCGGGTTTCTCCTGTTTAACCTCTACTTTATGCGCAAATGTCTTCCTCACTCTCCCTTCACATTTATCACTGTCAATCATAAATGGTTGGCCAAATTCGTCATTTTCTACCATTGAAACATTCATGGAGCATCAGCATGCCAACCATTTGATCTCAATCAGTTTCATGAGAATATTCATTTAGATCTTCTTGATATACAGTGAGCTAAAGTATTACAAGAATTACAATTTTTGTTTTGTTTTGGCTCTACTCCAGCACTCCAGGATTTGAAATGATACAATGACTATGAGGTTAAAGTGCAGCCTGTCATCTTTAATTTGAGGGTATTTCCATCCATATCTGGTGAACCGTTTAGAAATTACAGCACTTTTTGTGCATAGTCCCCCCATTTTAGGGGACCAAAAGTATTGTGATACATTCATTTATGTGTATTAAAGTAGTCAGAAGTTGAGTATTTTTGTATTTTATGTTTGAATTGATTCATTTTACTATGTTATGAAATATATATGTTTAATTTCACTCTTTAGCCTATGTCTATTTCTATAACACAATGCACATAGCTAATTATCTTATGGAGTAGATACACTAATATTTACTGTATAGACTGTTAATTTGCAAATTACATAGTCTATGGGCTCCAGATCAAACGTGTTGGTCTTTCAGCCAAAGCACCCCATATAGAAGCAATCAGTTGATATAATAAAGAACACACATAAAAAATCAGGCTATATGAATCAGACAGTAGTAGGTCAGATGGTTGAAAATCACAGAAGATTCATATCGTGATTTGAAATTGCAATGTTAACAGTAGGCAAAAATCATCTTGTGGTCTTCCTATTTGTTGTTAGTGACGCTCTCCAGTCTCCACTGCCGTGGTTCTGAACTCGCCACGGCATGCCTTGCATTTCTCCCGCACTAGCTAGCAGTAGCTGTCCGTGGTCCTGGAATAAAAGGCGCACAGGTTAACATACACAGTTCTTCATTTTATCTGTACCTTTTACAATATAGTTAAGCTACAACATTCTGTTTGGAACAAATGAATGCAAATCTGAGACTTAAAGGTCACTTGTTTCCTTCTGTCTTTCTACTGGAACAATGTTAGTTCAATGCATAAAGGTACTGGATCATTTCGTTCCAAATGCCACCCTATTCCCTTGAAAGTGCACTACTTTTGACCCAGGAACATAGTCCAATGTTGATATATTAGTTATGAGCAGTGGATTGGGCTGATCAACTTTAGTACTTAGTGAATGTCTTATGAGAAAATAATCATCAAAAGTGATGAGAATGTTGCATTTTGGAAAGCATTTCGGCCGACTGATCTTGAACTTCGCAATTCATATCCAAGTTTATTATAGGCCTTTAGCTAGGCTATATATTAAAATAACAGGCCTACGTGTATATCAACATAGCTTATATATATATTGATTATATATACAGTATATATAATGCTATTACGTATATTACTTTACCTGCATTTTTTTCTGTTGGATATAGGCCTACCCCTGAGTCATATTGACATGCAGCATGTTTAGTGCATGGAGACAGACCGTCTATCTGCTTGGCCTCTAGGCTAGTTGTCCGCGGAAAGGTCATGGAATCCCTCAAAATATATTTTTGTTGTTTTTTGTAGCTCAGGTTTATGGCTTGGCACAAATAATATTTTGCATGAATCAGACATAATTATGCAATCCCATACCCCTGGTGGCCATTGGGTGCTCAGTAGCGCCACCCACAGTCGACTTTTTCCCAAATGTTGATGATTTTTTAATCAAGAATAGATTAACATATCCGAATGTTATTTGACATGAAGGTTTAGTAAGGGGACCTTATTAAATCTTAAGAATCACACATTTCAAGCTTAAATAGTTATGACTTAAATAGTTTTTCCTTAGGAAGGCAGATAAAGCACATATGCAAAACGAATGGAATCACTTTTCACCCAGTGCAAACTGTGCCCACCCAAACGAACACCTTCAGTCTGTGATAGATTCCTCGTCATCAGAGCTGTAGTGGATGCTGTCATAGATGTCATCTAGGTCCTCTTCCAGGAGGTCATCTATGAAGTTATCTTCTAGGTGGGAGGTATCTTGGCCCATAGCTTTGCTGTATATCAGTTTGACAGAGTCCTGGTCTCTTCTGAGGCTACTGAATCTTCTCTGAAGCATGGAGAAGAGACCTCTGCTCCCAGCTTCCGACTGATTCAATTGCCAGCCTAACACCAACAATCGTAATGTGTAGGGTAAATACAATGAAGTATTCCTTAAATACAATAGCAATTACAGGGTGCCAACATTTACATTTACATTTTAGTCATTTAGCAGACACTCTTATCCAGAGCGACTTACAGTCGCCCCCCCGTGGGAAACGAACCCACAACCCTGGCGTTGTAAGCGCCATGCTCTACCAACTGAGCTACAGGGGACAACAATTCAATTGTACATACTAATGAAAGTTCACCTACTTTGCCTGCTTAGGTCAAGTGCCACATGTGAAGCAAGGCTCCGATTCCCTCTTTAGGCTTTCCCAGTGCTGCTTGACTTCCTTTAGGATAATTAACTCTTCCTCCTTCAGCCGTCTCAGGAGCATCACCCGGTCAAATACTATTTTCTTTGTGGGTAGGTCAGCTGTAAATTCATAAGAATGCAATGTTGATTTGTAACCTTAAATGGTAGTGCTGTCTGTGTTTGCGCAACTGAACAAACACAGATAGCAAAACAGAAACATAGTTATTGTGACACACAAACCTACTACTTACTTTGTCCATGCAGCTCCCAAGGCCATGCATGAAGGTCTGCGGAAAGGATCTCATCTGCAGATGGTATTGCTGAATCTGGCAGCTGTCAATTTGGCCTTTCCTTCCAATATTTGTCTGCGCAGGGGATGTCGTCTCTTGCATCCATCTGTCATCAAAACAAAAGGAGAATGGAATTATTTGTTAAATTGCATGGCTTTGAAATGAAAGAGAAATGAAGTGTGTCCAATTCAATATTCATGAAATGTAATAAACCTGTCTGACGGTAGAGGTTCTGTTTCCTTTGTTTGATGCTAAGGAACAGGACAATTGTTCTCTATAGTACCTGGGGACCATCCATGTTCTCAGCTGTTTCCTCTGAAATACAATACATCCATAAATTAACAATATATGTCCCACGGTGAGTAGTTGCACTCACTTCCTGGAGGAACATATGGCCTGCAAAGGTTTTTGTAACAAATTATTTGTTATGTGATGGGTGAGTGAGTGAGCCCAATGCATAACCCCCAACCTGGAGGACCAGGGAATGTTTTGTCTGCCTCATACCCTTCGACCTGTCCGGCTTGAATGCACCTGCCGGTGGAATACACCCTCTCCGGCTTAGCTCTCAGGGTCATTGGAGTACGCAAGCCTCTCCACCACGTCAAGGTGACAGTCCAGGAGAGTTACATTTAGGATTCTTTTTTATTTGTATTAATTTACCTGTATTAGCCCATTGCTGAACTTCCGTTGTCCAGTCTCATCGCCTACACCCATATCACTCTTCAAATTTCCGAGAGTCTGGGTCTCCTCCTGGATTTTTGCTGTTGTCTGAGAATTATGACAAAAATAAAACTGAATAATTAATTGTTTAAAAATACATTAAATGCATATATATAATACTTCTAAAAGAATATACCCTCTAACACAATATACCTTCAAGTATCTTCTGGACAATGTTCTGTCCAGGTTCTTCTGTTCCACCCCATGGCCTGGATGGATAGCATGTCTGTTCTTGCTAGAAAAGCCAAATAGAACTCATTATTCCAGATAAGTGCTGACATAGCTGAATAGAACAACCTTAAACAAATAGTTTACCTCCTTTGAACATTTGCTTGGAACAGATTGCAGCCCTCGACAAGCAGCTGTTCCCTTGTTCCACTTCCTCCCCCAGAGTTGTGCCAGCTCCTTCCTGATTCCGTCCTCCCCACTTAATCTTAATTTACATCAAAAATAATATTGACTTAATATTGCAATTATGTGAATAACAAACATCTAAATGGGAAGCCTTGTTAAGGACTGACGCTGGAAATTCTCTTTCAACAGTTTAATAAAGAAAAACTTACCTCGCATTTCAAACGATGTGCCTTTGCATGCATGATGGAAAGAAGTGGCTTCATGTCCAGAAGAGTGGCGAGCTCTGGACAATGAAGGGCAACTTTGGTCAGGTATGGCCAAAATTTGCAGATCACATCCGTACACATGAATTGTATGTTCCTGCTGCCAGACAACTCCTTCTGCAAGAACAGTGGGTACGCAAAGATCTCTCCACACATCATGTTGAGGCTCCTCAGAAGTATTCCGTGGCGGCAGACGGCAACTTCAAGTCCCTCTTGATCAAGTTTGTAGTTTGTTTTCCTTGACGACTTTAGCTGCTGTCCACTGGGATGCTCCACATACCCCTTTTCCATAACCCTAGACAAGGAAGTAGAAGAGTATAGGTTGAACATTTTTGGGGGAGCGAGGCGTTAATGGGACAGTGGTTAGGTTTTTCAAATCTAGCTGAGGGCGCTGAGCTACCCCTTGTGTTCGCTACAATGGAGATCAGAAGTGGGAGATTGTCAAAAAGAAGCACTTGTAAAGTGTGTTGCATTTGGGACAGTGAAGCGTGGGGACACATTCTGAATGGAGGGAGTGGTGTGTCGTGACGTGACTTACTTTAATGTATGACTGTTACTTATCGAATCACCTAACTATGTTTAATTATCACTCGATTAAATTAATTATGTAACAATTAACTCATTAGGAATTTGGTGCACCACCGAATAAGTTGTTTAACGAGTTACCATCTCCCGAATTAAACTCATAGAAGATATGTTATATATCGATAACAGTCACTTATCAAATAAGTACCTCTTATCAGTCTCATTCTGAACATCGCATAATCCTTGAAACTGCAAGAACCCTAACCTTATTGATGAATCAGCAATACACAAATTAGCTTAATTATTTATTTACTAACTAACTAAATAATAACACAATACAAACACACATAGGTTATTGATTACTAACGTAATACAATGAAAACAGGTCCCTAGTGGACTGGACTAACAATCGCATGACTGCTTGGGTAGAAGGAGGGTCAGAGTGGAAGGGAGAGACAGAGATTCAAACTATCGTGGTTACTTTGGAGACTATGCTCACAGTAATCATAATACTTATGCACCCTAATAACGCTCATTCGGATTAGAAATGCAACATGTATTTACGTGTAGCTGTCCTCGATAGTTGAGTTGATGATATAGGACTCTGGTTTTCCCACCAGAGATCCCAATGTCCTTGGTAGAGTTTCTGGTCGTAGTGCTGGTTAAAATGGATACTTCAGATGTACCAGCGGTTGTCTGAGAGGGATTGTCCTTCCCACTTCATGTCTTTAGTGAAAGTTCTCTAGACAACTATACATGCCAGCTGCAGACTGAAATGATAAGGTCTAGTGCATTGTCTTCCAATTAAATAACTTACAACAATACTATAAACAAAACGTACTATAATTCACTATGGCTGACTGGATTTGAGTTAAAGCAGGGCAAGTGCATAGTGTTGCCAGCAAAGCAGGTGAAAGCCAACGCAAAAGTAGGATGAGTACTTAGGTTGTAAAGAGCTGGAAATATTGGATGGAAGAGGGGCACAGATAAGGGGCATGGCAGGACAGTGGTGCAGGAGGCTAACACATACTGTAGCAAGAGACCTGAAGTTAACGTAGTTGTTGTACTGGAAATACATTTTGTTACAACGGTATGTGTAACATAACTTTAACATATTGTTAACCTGAAGTCATACATTGGTAAAGCTGAGTATAATTTATTGTTACCCTGCCAAAGAAGTCAGTTCGCTGCTCCAAAATCTGCATAAACGCCAGATAGGACATTCCTGTGGCTGACACTTTCAGCTCCTCAAAAGAGCTGAACAGATCTACCTGGTATATGGTGTCACAGTTGACAGTGGCAGGCCAGTACACATTCTTTATCAGATCTGCCAAGTTTGCTGTCCAGGTGCTAAGACAGGTTGTGCAGGTCAGCACAGGCACTGTGACATTGTAGCGACTTTGAGGAAAGAAATGTACAGTCTGAATTAATGTCGTTTTACATTGCGTTGCTACATCACTGTTTGGTTCTTGTAGATATTGCACGTACTGTACCATTTATTCCTACGAGGATGATATGTTTCCCAGGGCCAACATGGATGGGGCTTGTCAGGCAACCACATATCACCTCTGGTACGTCCAATGGTAAGAAACAATCTAGGGACAATATTTTATACAACAATAAACAAGAATACATTTTAACTTTGATATAATACATTCAGCCGCGAAAAAAATATAAAAACACACCCTGTTCATGAAGTGCATATTTGCCATCACTGTGGAGAGATATGGCTGTGGTTGGAGGAAGGGGCGTGTAGAATCCCGCGATCATGGACTCTGTTGTGCAAGAGGAACTTTGCATGTGTAGAGACATTGCAGTCTTCGCAGTAAAGCTGTTTCGGCAGACAGTCTCTACATTGCAGAATAGCCGTTTTCACATTGCCTTCTTCTGAGAAGCATGCTCTGCAGCCAGCAGAGAATCTATGATCTCAGGCTTGGACTCCCTCCACCTGTCCGGTGAGAGTTCCTTCTTCACACTTCAACTGTGTGATGCAACAGGTACAGCAGGATTTGCACACTCAGGGTCTTCTAAGTCAGCTAGGAGGATGTTAATTTCTCAATGAAGTATTGCATTTTTGAAAACACAATAAAAACGGAATAAATAATATTTAAAATATACTTCATCTTTTAAATCGCACATAGGGCTGTAAGTAGGTGGCAGCAAATATATCTCTGCAGAATCTATGGTGTGACAAGCAAAAACCTCAGCTTTGATTCTACAGTAAATTAAATTACAGGGCAGACCAAAATATTGAGTATTAAGTCTAAAATGGAATATCACACAATAGAACTTGATTCCATCGTCGAAAAGAAATTCTGAATGTTCTTAAAACAGCAAAAACACACTGAGTGTACAAAACAGACTGACCAGGTGAAAGCTATGATCCCTTATTGATGTCACTTGTTAAATCCACTTCAGTGTAGATGAAGGGGAGGAGACAGGCTAAAGGAGGATGTTTAAGCCTTGAAACAATTGAGACATGGATTGTGTATGTGTGCCATTCAGAGGGTCAATGGGCAAGACAAAATATGTAAGTGCCTTTGAACGGGGTGTGGTAGTAGGTGCCAGGCGCACCGGTTTGTGTCAAGAACTACAGCGTTCCTGGGTTTTTCACGATCAACAGTTTCCCGTGTGTATCAAGAATGGTCCACCACCCAAAGGACATCCAGCCAACTTGACACAACTGTGGGAAGCATCCCTGTGGAACGTTTTCGACACCTTCTAGAGTCCATGCCCTGACGAATTGAGGCTGTTCTGAGGGAAAAAGGGAGTGCAACTCAATATTAGGAATGTTTTGTACACTCAGTGTATTTTGACTACAGAGTAAACTCTCCTCAAAGGCAAATGCTTCCAGCTTCCACAATTACAGACAGTGGTTGTAAAAGGAAAGACACTGTGTAAACATTCCAATAGTGGATTTGAATGAATTCAGCTAAGACTAATTCCATAATGTGGAATGGCAGATTGC